TGTCCAGATATTGAAATGTAGCTATTTATTGAGAGCGCGAACTAAAACGCATTTTGATTACAACATAGCCAAACTATAAATTAATTTAAAAAAAGGACACTAAAGCTCCAAAGTTGCCTTATCAACAAAGCAATTGCATTGTTGCATTAACCTTAATCCATTCAACATTATGAGGGGAGAAATAAATAAAAATAAATAAATCCTATCGAAAAATATCCTTAAAATTGACATCTGTTAGTGATGACTGAATAATAAAGAATCAGTGCTTTTATTTAATTTTAAATATATAAAAAATGCTATAAGAAAAATGAATTAAAATTAAAAGGTTTGTTATTCAAACAAATACAAAATAATCTAATCATTTAAATACTTAGCAAGCCGAATAATATCATTTAAAGTTTACCATTTGCAACTGTGTCACCACTTTAGTGCCTCACTGTATCTCATAGCGCACATAAAAATTATATGTATAAATCTTACACGCACTGTGTTTTAGCTTAAAATATATTTAATAAGGCTTTAATACTGAATAAATGGAATCAACTAAGCTTCTCATAAGCAGCTGACAGCGCTGAACCGTTAAGCTTCGTCATCTGGCAATGGCAATGAAAGTGCAACTGCAATTTCAAGTTGCAATTGCACAGAACACAAAAAAAGAATAATACAGCTGGCGTGTTTACACAAAATAAACAAATGGAAATAAGCCAACAAGGTAACAAAGTCAGTCAAGTAAAGTCGCGGACCAACTCAAGCAAGAAGTTCCAACTATTTAGGTTAAGCAGTGCTCCGGTGTTTGAGTGCCCTGGCAGCTACTTTGGCCTTAAACTCTGCATATTCAGGGCCAGACAAACAAATTAAACATAATTAAATTAATTAATTAGTGTACGGGCGGGGTAAAGAAAATTAATAATTGAAATTAAATGAATTGCTGCGAAATGCATTTTACTGCAGTCTTATAATAGCGTGCAGCAAACTATGGGAACAACAATAAAAGATGTCAAAGCAAAGCGCACAGATAAAATAAAATAAAACAAAAGAATCACAATGGGGGAGAAGGATAGATAGACATAAAAAATGTATTAAAATAAATACCGATTACAAAAACATCTCGCAGTAGTGCGAATTACAATTTCAGGCATTACACTCTGCAATTATACAATACATCAGAAGTTACACAAAAAGCAGATCAATTCCGAAAGCCGAAGTTTGTATACCCTTGCAATTGCAAAGATGTCGATTTTATCCAATTGGAAATCTATGGAGTTAATACGTAACAACACTGGATTTCTGCAATTATTTTCAAATTCTCGTTCGATTTTTATAAAGTTATACCGGAAATATGAAAAAAATATACAAAATAACAACTATACTTTTCTCTACATTTATTCCCCTAGTTCCTAGTATAAAAGGATAGAAATTGACTCCTTTACTGTATTATAATACTAAGGCTCTAATTATGTTAAATAACTACTATTAAGCAAATAATTTTGTTTGTTTACGGTAAAAAATAAATTTATTCTCAAGTCGTCATGCAAAATAAAATTCGTGCCGAGGTGATAGGAAATAAAGAAAAATTAAACAGTAATATGCAAGCATTAGCGTGGTGTAGGGGTTAAAGTAAATCGGGGAAAATACGAAAACAAGGCAGATAAGTGCATATAACAAAAATAGCTTACGTATGGGCCTGCGGCGCATGCGGGTCTCGTTTTTCTCGCCGCCACTGTTGGCGCCGCCACTATTAATCGGCTGCATCTTGCGACTGACAAGTTATATTTATTCGATTCGTGTGGCAAAGCAGATACATATGCGAAAAGAAATGGAAAAGAACCAAAAGAAAAGCAAGAATTTAAGTAACAAAAAATATTTAAAGCGAAGCAATCCACTATTAAGGCAATTTGTTTGTATTGTTTTTGGTTAGCTTAAAAAAAATTATTTAAATCAAAATTACATTTAGAGGTTAAAATAAACAAATAAATACATTTTTAATGTAAATTAAATATTGGTTGAATTTTTTTAGGGTACATATGTAATTCTTAATTCTATACAGCACAATATTGCCTTAATTTGAATTGGAAGCTGTAGCGGTAACAGTAACTGTGGTTCCGCTTGATAATGCCCAATTTTTGGGGACACTACTGTTGGTTCACTTGTGTACAGATAACAGCGACGTCAAAATAAATCGGCTCGACGTCGCTGTTAGTGACAAACAAAAACTAATTTTGGCAAACACATTTCTGGTTCCCTTCTTTTGGCTTTCTTCTTGCTGCTTTGTTTTGGGCTGCTGCTTTATTCTAACTTCCTCTTTTCGTTACAATTTCCCCTTTTTCTGCACAGACGCGACAAGCTCAATGTTCGAAGGCAACTGAAAGTAGCAAACGGAAATTCTCTGGCGTCGACCGGCAAACAAAATACAAACGCAGCAACAGCAACAAAAGGCACTTTCTGGTTGTTCTCATTTTCAAAAACGACTGTGTCGCATTTTTTTCCCTCAGCATTCGAAATCGTGAAATTTACTAAGTGACTTGTCTATATGAATTTAAATGGTATAAAATTGTCTTACATGATTTAAAAATATTCACACCATAAATATATCACAAGTAAACACGCATTAAAAAAAAATATAATAATAAATAAATAAAAAAAATTATGCGGCTTTACAATTTGTTTAGAGTGACACTCTTTCTCAAAGTGTATGTATAAAAAATCAGGCAATGTGTAAACGAATTTAAAAAAGTAGACCCTTAGTCTCTGTCAGACTTTCATATATCGGGTGCTAGAAGCACTACCAACTTAGCAGGATTGTCAGTATTGGTCAAAAAAGGTTATGGGAATTGCCTCTTTTATGTCGAACGACACATGTCAAAACCGTGGACTGAACGGGACAGGGCCAACAGCGAAGTTATCTTTAAACTCATTTTGCTCCCTCACTCAAACGAAAGATAAGATAGACGGGAGAACAGGATAGTTGTATAAGCAATATCGATAAGGAGGTCGTCAATATATTGTTGAGTTTAATCAATTAAATGTTTGCAAAAACCGAAGTTGCGACCTCAGGCACTTGGCAACTCTGAAAGTTCGAAGGTCGCAGACGTCGAGACGACTTTGCGAAAATGCTCGAATAACCCATGACATTGACCTCAACACCTGACAGACACCGATAAAGCATGGCTGTGCCGACAAAAAATCCAACCCGAATCTATTTACATACATATGTATTTATGTATGTCATTTAAAAGTTGACCCAGTTAATTAAAAAAAAACGTAGAATTCGAAAAAGGAGACGGAAATTTCATTCAAGATTGTGGGAAAGAGATGCGATGTAAACAAATCAAACGGGGGAATGGGACAGGGCGACACGCGTTCAACAAACTTGATTTACAGTTTATCGATTCGCACACACACACGCGAGCGAGCGAGCGAGCGAGAGAGATATCACAGGGAGAGGGGGGGGAACACGTGCTTTGTCTCTCCTATTGATTTTTACCCCAGCGCGAGGGAGACAGCATGGAAATACTGCACTTTGTCGCACGGTTCTTTTCTCGCTCTTTCCAATTTCATAACGGGACGAAAGAAAGACTATAACAGGACTTTTCCTTGTTCTTTGTTTAGCCACGTGTTTTTGTTGTTGTTAATGAGCGATTCGATTCGATTATATTAGTTGATTATTGTTATTTTATTGACTGTTTGGTTATGTTTTGACTTGGTTTGACATAAAGAAACTACCAAAACACAAAAAAAAAATACGGATAGTATTGCCGCTGAAAGATGGAAGACAATAGAATGTAGAATGGATGAAACACTGAGACAAATAAAACACTCACAATACAACTAATAACAATTAGCAATTGAAATTGGAAACGAAAAAACAATAGACACACGCACACACAGCCACTCACATCTCTTCCAGACAACTTTAGTCGCGGTAACAGCGCGAACTTTAAGTTTACTCCTGGCTTCATTGACTTGCAATTTCAAACTGAACCAAAGCCCAGCGGACGGACAACAACAAGGCGTGGAAAGCGCGGTGTCGACATTTTCCACCCCCTAAGAAGGCCCAGCAACAACAGCAAAACAAGAACGCCGAAAAAAACACTCCGGCGCTTTCAGAGCTGACATTAAACAGATGTTATGCCTATCGGAGAAATCGATAGACTCGATACGCAACTTCCTTGGGCGTTAAGAAAGTTTCGTATTTAAATTAAAAGTCTCCTTGCTATCTCTCGTATGATTTTGCTTTTTAATGCTTGTTGCAATCGTGTTATCGGAATGTTTTATATTTTTAGATATCTAACTCGGATGAATTTTAAAATGCCTTTTATATGTATACTTTTTTGCTTAGAAGCAAAATACGAACAGCAATGGTTGATTTACAATTTTTTATTTACAAAATACACCTTTTCTTTCCTCTGCCCACCTGATGTGAATCGCAGCATATCGTTAAAAACTCCCACCCGATCAGAGGTAAGGATATGGCTTTTAAATGGCAGAAATGTGTGTTTTCGATGTGGCACAGCTGATCGATAAGCTGTAATCGGATGTGGAATGCAGATCTAGATCTGCGAAAAATCTCAACTGTTTCACACAGACAGTAATTAAAAAATGAAGACAAATTTGTTTGAAAACCAGGGTATTCCCTTGACAACTGAATTATCGGCTAACTAAGTGCGATGCATCGCGATAGTTAGCCGATATTTTCAGCATTTTATACAGAAACAGCTGTTATCATTTGAATTAGGATTGGAATTCGCGAAATATATTATGTATATATGTATATATATTTAAAAAAAAGTTAAAGTAGTAGTAATACTTATCGTAATTGTAATGATAGTTCAATATATAGAAGAAAATATTAGCCATCGGACATGTTTGGGTTCAATTATATAAAATAAACTTAAAAATTTTAATTATTTAGGGTATTTCCCTGTTCGACTACATTTTCGCTCTATGCTATTCCAGTTCCACTGGGTTTACCGATAAATTTCCAAGTTATCGTCTTCGTTTAGCAGTGCTCGGCAGAAGCAATTGGAAGAAAATTATTTATTCTGGAAGTGCAAAAGCGAATGCAAGTGCGATAGTGCGGACGGATAAGGAAGAAGGACAACATAAATCCGACAGTCCTTATAAATCGTTTCCTTTTTATTTATTTTTAATATTTTCGTTATACACTTTTTACGCGATCACTGTGTGCCGGTCAACGCTGAAGTAAAGTCCTATAATATATTTATTAAACCCTGTGTTTTTCCTCTTCGCTTCTGAAAATTTTTACGGTAAGTGCAATAAGTGTTTATATATATATGTAAACATATATTCATATTCATATTTGTGTATGTATGCATACTTTATTTTCTTTGCCTGACTTTCGTTCCTGGCTCTGTTTTGCGTAAGCTTTGGTTATCCCGCCGCCATATTGAACTTGCTCGCAACTATGGCCATCCCACTCTAACCTTAAGTTGTTCCCACTGTAAAAAAATAATTTTGCTTAATTTAATGGTGTTTCAAAAACTAGTCAAGTTGGATACAATAAAGAAATAATTGTTATTTGAGTCTAATTAGTCATCATGTAATAAATATTGGATAATATTAAATATTATAATATTTGTGTGTGTACAATTTCTTTTCCCACGCACCTGATCAAGTCTGTATGTTCATACATACTTATGTATGTATGTATGTATGTATAAGCAAGTGGTTAAAGCCCCGTTACTCGATAAGAAATATAAATTTGAGGTTACAGTTAAATTTGTGTATCTATGTATGGCTTACTTTAAGGGGGGGTTGGGTAAGGTATTTAATTTTTTTTTCGTAAATTTTTATCATAGTTTAAAGATGATTTAGCAAAAATTTCAAATATTTTAGAGCATGTCCTGAAGCAGGACACAGGGCGACGTAAGCCTCTGCAAAAAAAGGTACCCCTCTGGCGACCATCCTGCAGGACGTAAAAATCGACTGAAACAAAAAATTCAAAGATGTTCTTGTTTAGTATTAATGTGGTTATGGAATAGACTACAATTATACAAATTAAATAAAAAATAAAAAATGGCGGCTACTTAAAAATTTTTTTGTTTTTCTGAAAAATTTCTTCACTTTTTTGTTAATAAAAAATCCAATTTATAAGATATCAATATAATTGTAGTCTATTCCATGGACACGCGTATTTAAAAAAAAAAATGGCATTTTTCAGGAGAGCGCTTTAAACTTTGTGATTCTCATGCATTGAACACTAACCGACCTTCGTTCAACTCTGCATAACTTCGTCAATATTCCTAGGATCGATGTAAAACTTGGACACAATATTCTTAGGATATTATGCCTTTAAAATAAATGGCCTTTTTTAAATGCTATTTGACAAACTCCTAACAACTCAATTTAATTTAATTTTATTTTAGAGGACTCGCCATGGCTATGATGATGCGGTTGCAGCGACCGATTACATCCGGCAGCCGACAGGCTCCGGATCCGTATGACCAGTATTTGGAGAGCCGTTGTCTCTACCGGAAGCATACGGCACGGGATGCCTCAAGCTTGTTCCGGGCGATCGCCGAGCAGATGTACGACACCCAAATGCTGCACTACGAGGTTCGGCTGGAGTGTGTCCGATTCATGACCCAAAAACGACGCATCTTCGAAAAGGTTAGCGGGAGCTCATTAGGTGTTTTGTGATGTGTAGTTTTACGGAAATCTCTAAATTTCAATTTTAAGAGTTTAGCTTAAAACATCATTTGATTACTGATAACTTCTTAAAATATAATATAACCTACATTCTTGTGGAACCTTTAACAATTATAGAAACGTAAACATTTTATATATATTCTTAGAATATAATGGAAAAAATATGGTCTTCATAATACTTTTTGGGCAAATTAAGCCTAATAGATTAAATTTTTCTTAATTTTTCATGTGTATATATAGGACATCCATGGCGACTTTGATAGCTACATGATAGACATGTCCAAGCCGAAGACATATGGAACCATGACAGAACTGCGAGCTATGTGCTGCCTGTATCGGTAACTACTGAAAAATAGTCCTTGGCTTACACTTGTTTATGTGTTGGCGAATTTCTCATACTTTGTATTGTAGCTTTGCGGAGTTTAAACCTTAATTCTAAATTTTGACTTGTTTATTGATTTCTTTCAGACGCAATGTGATTCTGTTCGAGCCTTACAACATGGGAAGTAGCGTCATCTTTAATCGTCGCTATTCTGACAATTTCCGGGTCTTTTATAACAACGAAAATCATTTCGATTCTGTCTACAAAGTAGAATACATTGAAAAGGCTGCGATTTGCCAGTGTAAGTGTTTGAAAAAATACCCTACAGTACCCTATGTACCACCAATCGTGACAAAACCGACTTTCACTCATCTTACCTTTTCAAAGAAAAGGTTGCTAATAAAATGTTGATCAAAAAAATATCGAAATTAATGAGTCTTTCATCAGTTAACAAGAAGGGAAGCTAACTTCGGCACGCCGAAGATTGTATACCCTTGCAGTTTGCAATTGGATCATTAAGAAATTAATAGAAAAAATACCAGGATATATCTAAGAGTTGTATATTTATACAAAGCATATAATAATTGGGTATTGTTAAAATTAAAAAAAAAAATTAATCGTATAAAATAACAATATTTTAGATTTATATAGACATTATAATTATAAATTCTGAAATAAGCAAAGTATTTTCATAAAGTTAAAACCAAAATTCTGAAATAATAATAAAAGCTCATATCTTAGAAAGATAAAGATACGTTAAAAAACAACAAAGTTATAATTTTTTCTAATAATCACCCAATCGTACCTGTGGCAGCTTTATTATATAATCGTCCAATTTGCATAAAAATTAAAACCAAAATTCTAAAATAATAAAAAATTACGATATCTCAAAAATGAAAATATGTTGAAAAACAGTGAATTTATCATTTTTTTTGTCCATAATTTCTATGGTAGGTATATATTTAGTCGTCCGATCCGGCCCGTTCCCACATATAGAGTAGTTAGAGACTATCTGCAAAGTTTCATCCAGATAGCTTTAAAACTGAGGGACTAGTTTGCGTAGAAACGGACGAACAGACGGACATGGCTACATCGACTCGGCTGTTGATGCTGATAAAAAATATATATAGTTTATATGAAATGTTTTTGTGCACTGCGTTGCAAACTTCTCATTATAAGGGTATAGAAACGGGTATAAAAACGGGTTTCTCTCTCTCTTTCAAAAATATAAGCGTAGTGAGCATTTTTCATTTGCGATGTAACTTTGACTTGTATTAAAATTATTATATTGAAACAATTATATAAAGTAAAAAAACAAAAACAAAAGCTTTTTGGCCTCAATTATTGATGAGATTATGATGAATTTTTAATATATAGTATATATAATGAGTTGCTGATATATAGTATATGAAATGGTGATGAATAAATGATGTTGATGGTGATGATTTGTTGATGAATCTATGATAAACAAGTGAATAATTTTTAATGATTATTCCTCACTGATTTGTATGATCCGTCATCGATTTATCAACAGCACCGACCTGTATGTAATTCATTGACTTATATCTGGTACTGCAGGGTACATGTTTGTAGGTATGTATTTATAAAGCTGTATATATCTATTATTTTCTGTCCAACGTTAGCCATCGCCTTTAAGCTTCTCTACAAGATGCTGTTCAAGCTGCCCGACGTGAACTTTGCTGTGGAGAGCATGTTGCACCCACACACCTTCGAGTGGGACGCGTGCGATGAGGAGTTCGATAACAAGGGCTACATGATCCACCTGCAAGCTTCCGATGGTCGCAAGTTCAAGCTGGACTTACCGGAGCACACAAACTGCATCCTGGAGAACTACAAGCTGTGCAATTTCCACAGGATTGCTGGAAACCAAAGCAATAGTAATGGCCGGAGGCCAGGAGGCGCCAGGCGGGACTCGAAGTCACAGCTGGATCATGACTCGTCTGGGAATAATGGCAGCGGATCGAGCGACATAATGCACATGTGTCCGAACCGATTGGTGTCCTGTGTGCGCCAGCTGCTGGATGATGGTAAGTATATCGCAAACATTCTGATTTTAATGGTCGAACCCCACATATATTCTCGTCGGCAGGCATCACACCCTTTCCATACAAGGTGGCCAAGTCTTTGGACCCCTTTATGTACCGAAACATTGAGTTTGACTGCTGGAACGACATCCGCAAGGAAGCCAAGCGCTACAACGCCTACGCCAATGACTACAACTTCAAGGTAAAACGGATCGACTCTAAAACACTTCTCTCCTGGGACGCACACAAAGCCCAGTGCACACACACACACACGTTTCATGTTTTCTTCACTCATCCACACACACTTTTCATTACTAGTCCAGCTCCTTGCTTTTGCCTGTCAACCCCTCCCCTTCTATCTCGAATTTGTGCTATTTGTCTTGCAGGTGGGAGCCAAGTGCCGGGTGGAAATGGAGCACGAGTTGGAGCTAAAAACGTGCCACATTCAAAAGATCTCCAGAGACAAGACCCACTGCGTGGTCTTTGTGGAGAAGATTGGCAAGAAGCTTTTGGTATCGCTTTCCTTATCTACCTCTTTCTTTGTGTTCTGTCAATCTATGAAGTATATGTCGTTGCATTCAGGGAATCTGAGGAGTCTAATCTTTGGGTCTTTTGCCTGGCTTTTAGGTTCCCTACGAGTCCCTGCACCCCGTGCCGCCCGATGAGTTCCGTCCGTGGACGCTCCCCTATCGCTACCAGCGCCAGATGCAGCACCACCGCATGCAGCTGTCCAAGGTAGCGAGCAAGCCCAGCAAGATGGCCAAGTGGAAGAAGACCAAGCTGTTCGAGATCGGCCAGTATTTCGAGCCCAGAAAGGTAGTCTTGGGGCCGATGCAGGGCTACGTACCGTTGGACAACTGCTATCGCGGGGTGGCCCAGAATGGGGAGCAACGGGACCCAGAGCAGCAGAATCACGGCGTGGATCATAGTCAGAGGGAGCAGAGCCAGCGGGAGGGACCCCAAAAGCCGCGGCAGCAGCGCACCAAGGAACTGAGGGTATCGCGCCAGATCTCTAATGCTCCAAGCCATAGCCACGACTCGGCCGCTTCTGCCGCTCTGCCGCCACCTACTCACTTTATGAACTATTTGCCCATTATGTCGCCAGGCCATCACGGAGATCCGGCTCCTCCATCATGGCCCGCATCCCCGGTGGCCATCTCTGAGGAGCTTCAATATCCGCTGGCCGGGCCTCCACCGCCACCACCAGCCGATGGGTGCGTGTATATGCCTTTCAACGGCTATGGCCCGCCTCCAACGGGTCCTTTGACTCTGCCAGGACCGCATCCGTTCCTGCCGCCATCGCATGCAGCACTCAACACTCAAACAGCTGGCGGGGAACCCCGTCGCTCCCTTCATATGAACGGCGAAGATCTGCCCGCAGATGTGGGCACTTTGCGATACTTTTACAACATGGGCGTAGATATGCATTTGCGGATGTCATCCCATCCACCGACTCCTGAAGAGATCGCCATGATGCACAACAACACGGACCAATCGCCATTGAAAAGCGCTGGAGCGGATCGGCAGGCAGGTGGGGAGGCAACACCACCGCCTTCACCAGAAGCAGGCAACGCCGTGGACCAGCGGCCTCCTTTGGAGAAGGCCTACACGAAGCGCCACTCGAATCCGAACAGGGCCCTTGGTAAGCGGTCCGAGCCGTTGCACGACCTGAAGGATCCCCTAGGGCATACAGCTCTCTTGCCGACACCCACGCCGACACCCTCGCCCACCACGAACGGCAGCCAGTTTAGTTTCTACAGCTCGCCGCCGCAGGCTGTTCCGCCTCCGCCACCGCATCATTTGGTGTCACCGCCCAGGATGCTTCAGCAGCCCCAGCCCCCACCGATCTTCTTTCACAAGGCGGCGGGACCGGGAATGCCGTCACAACTGACAGGAGCAGCTGGCGGACAGGTGCGTTTTTAGTATTCAATTACATTAAGGGGTTATATACAGTTGTACCGCGCAAAAAAATGCAATTTTGTCGATTTTTTTTTGACATCATAAAAAATATTTATTAAACATGTTTTGCCGACGTTGTTTAGTACATGTTTCTGGGTACTTCATAAAATTTTTTCATAAAAAAAACTTAAATATTAAAAATGTTATGTCCGAATTCCAAGATCGTCTTTTTTTCGATTTTGACTTGCGGTGGACATCATATCCCGCGAACGGTTCATCCGAAATCAAAAATTAAACAATTTTTCGTTAGTATATTGTCTTGCCTAGTCCTCTAGACCATGGATTTGTAAAACTTTTGATAAAAAAAAAATGGCGACAGTTTTAACAAAAAATTTACTTTTTCGATGTATAAGATTTTCGATTTTTATGCTTTAAAAAAAAAGTTAAAAAAAAAAATAACAAATTCTTCGTTAGAGGACTAGCTATTGTTATAATAAATAAGTGGTCAAAATTTGGTGTTGATCGGATCAATAGTTTTTTAGTAATCGTGTCCACCGCAAAGGTAACTTCGAAAAAAAACGATTCTGAGATAATCGCGTTTAAAGTTTCAAGTTTGTTCAAGCCGATGTGCAGGTCGTGCACTATAAATAGCTACAACTTCTGTTCTAATGCTCCGATCGTTATGAATTTTTGTGAGAATATTCTCAATATTATATACTTGAAGAATATGACATAAAAAAAAGTCGATTTTTTTATCATCACAACTGTATATAACCCCTTAAGGGGTTAACCCATGTGAATCTGTTTTTTGGACCGAGTTTTGACAAGTTTTCCTGAAGAGCGCTTAGGACTCAGCCCCTTTCATTTTTTTAACAGTTATTAAGTAAAGCATAAAGTATTTTTCAACATTTTTATACCCTTGCAGGGTATTATAATTTCAGTCAGAAGTTTGCAACGCAGTGAAGGAGACGTTTCCGACCCTATAAAGTATATATATTCTTGATCAGCATCAACAGCCGAGTCGATCTAGCCATGTCCGTCTGTCCGTCTGTCTGTCTGTCCGTCTGTCCGTCTGTCCGCCTGTCTGTCTGTTTGTTTCTACGCAAACTAGTCCCTCAGTTTTAAAGCTATCTGAATGAAACTTTGTATATAGTCTTCTATATGCTCTCACTGCTATATATGTCGGAACGGGCCGGATCGGACGACTATATCATATAGCTGCCATACAAATGTTCGATAAATTTTTAGAAAAATTATTATAACTTTGCTGTTTTTCAACATTTTTGCATAATTTAGATATGCATATTTAGATATGGCCATTTTATATTATTTTAGAATTTTGGTAAAAATTTTATGAAAATCGGACGACTATATGATATAGCTGCCATAGGAACGATCGGGAAATTAATAGAAATAAAATTATAGCTTCGTTGTTTTTGAACGCATTTTTATTTACTCTAAGATATTAGCTTTTTTATTATTCTAGAATTTTGGTATAAATTTCATAAAAATCGGACAACTATATCTTATAGCTGCCATAGAAGCGATCGGTTAAGGGGGGGGTAAGGTTAATTCGGTGCAAAAAAGGCCACTTTTCAAAAAATTATTGTGGCGAAACGGCTAAAGTTAGCTTAATGAATTAAATACCATATAATAACACAACATTTGAATAATTTTTGATAAATTTTTTATTGATAAATATTTAGAGGCAGAGGAGTTATAGGGAATCTCCCGAGTCGCCTCCAAAAAAAGTTGTTTTGCGGTGTACATCCTAACAGTCCACAGGATCATCCGATCTAAAAAAATTATACCTCATTCGTTAAAAGATAAGTGTCCCGAAGTATTCACGAAGAGTTTTTATTTTTAAAATTTTTTCCCTATTTTTTATCAAAGTTTGAAGTCAAAACCCCGATTTTTGACTAAAAAATTAAGGTAATTTGTTAATTAAAAAAAATAAGAAAATTAAAAATTAAAAAAAGCTCGACGTGAATACCTGTAGAATTATCTAAAGAAGTTATGTTCCAAATTTCAAACCGATTGGTTCAGTAGATTTTGAGTTATCGTGTACACCGATTTTCAAAATGGCATTTTTCAGGAGAGCGCTTTAAACTTTGTGATTCTCATGCATTGAACACCAGACGACCTTCGTTCAACTCCGCATAACTTCGTCAATATTCCTATGATCGATGTAAAACTTGGACACAATATTCTTAAGATGTTGAACTTTAAAAATAAAAAATAAAAAAAAATTTAAGAAAAAAAAAATTAAATACCTTACCCCCCCCTTAATGTATAAAATATATAAAGTTGGGAATGTAAAACTGTAACTGTCAAACTGTAAACATAATAAGTATAGGTAAAATGTAATGAAACTCTGTTTTGTGAGTGTTTTCAGCATTTAAATCTATAATATAAACATCAAAACCAATCTGCAAGGGTATACAAACTTCGGTGTGCCGAAGTTAGCTTCCTTTCTTGTTTGCAAGTCGAAGTGTTGCAAAATTTCCGAGATATAGGGAAAAAAAAGGTCATGGTCAACACGATTCTGGCGAACTGGCAAGGTCGATTTCAAAAATTTAAATGCAGATATGATCTGGATGAATGCGGATACGAAACAGACTAGTATATTTTGAAAATATAAAAATTTGGCGCCACTTTGTCATCTTATTTTTGAAAAACGCCCTTTTTAGTTGTCTATTTTGCAGTGAAAAAAAAAAACCTATGACCTATTTAAATGATCATAGTCTATTCCGTGTCTGCATGTATTCTGAACATATTCTGCAAAGTTCAGGACAATCGGTTAAGAAATCATATTGAGCAGTTGGAAAAAGTGGTTTCGAGAAAAAACCGAAAAGAAATAATCATTGCAGGAGTTAGATGTCTTTTCAGTGATGTAACTTTGTAACGACATCAAATATCGAAAAATCTTCTAAGAAAATAAATTAAGTCACATGGGTTAACCCCATTAAGAGGTCCTTAAACTGTTTATTTGCTGCACTTAGCTTTTAACTTCTCTTTTACTTTTCTTTAAACTTGGGACTTAACGCAGAAACCCGAATTAACCCGCGGCAGATTCTTGCAAGAACTAAAAACGGGATAGGAAATTAAAACTGAATCGAGAGTTGGCGACAAAGACGTTTTCGTATTAAAAAAAACGGTTAAATATACTTGAAGCAAAAGTAGCAGGGACTGTAAATAATAATAATCAATATTTTCTTTAATCAAAAAAATAATCCACTTGGAAAAGGCGCAAAAAAGAACGAATTTTACCAATTGCCTACCATTTTGATGCTGATTTAATTGCTCAAAAAATTATTATTATTATTTTTTCGCTTAGAATTTCGCTAAATGTGTTTTTATTTGTTCTTCTGTTTGTGATTCATAGGATTATGTAAATTTTTTTTCAAAGAAACCTCCCAAAATGAAGATCTTACACATTGAGCGAAATTCTGGGCGAACAAAATATTGTTCAAAAATTAAACATTATATTTTGAGCGATATTTTTTTCCTCAAAATAATAATAAATATTTTTCGAGCGATTATGTAATAAAAAAAATTATAATTGTTAATGGCAAGTAAAATATATTAAAACCAATAGATAATCATTAAACATTTATATTTATTATTTCACTTATAATGATTACGTAATCTGTAAAATTAGCATGTTAAGAATACATTTTATTTATTTACAAATTACCTGAAGCTTCTGCTTTTAAACGCTTCAAGAGATTTCCCTGCAACTAACATACACAGACATTATTTTGAATAGTTTTATGTTGTTAATCACCATTTATTTTGTAGTTAGTTCCTTATTTTCAGTTCCTTATTCTCAAGCAAGGCTTGAGCTAGGCTTTAAATGTCGCTGAAAGTATGTTAAGAGGCACGAATATTTTAACATTTAGTAATGCATTTAATTTTATTGAATATCCTCTGTTACCCGCAGAACCCCTATGCCTGGGGCATGCCACCGCCAACGTTGGTGGCCCCCCCATACGAGATGATTGGCAATTTACCCATCGAACAGCCGCCGCAGCAGCCACAGCAACATCAGCCGACGACCATGCCGACATCCCCCGCTCAGGCCCAGCCAGCAGCCGTCTACGCTGCCCCCCGTCATCACTAACAGTGGGGGAATAAATACGGGAAATCGGATCAAACCGATGAGAGGCGTACATATATACACAACGATTTCAAACGAACCGACTTTTTAAAACTCCATTCTACTTTTAAAAATCTGTAGTCAACTTTTTAAAGACACTTCCGCTTCTCAAATGCGGACCCTGTATACTCCAAAAAGATCGTTTGTACAAACAATGATTGATTGCATAATTTAAAGAGAATGTCAACGCACTTAACTTCGTTTTAAATTTGTAATATAAAGCAGTTTTATAGGATTTTATCAAAACATTTATTAATCACATCATAATCCGTAAAAATCGTAACCTAAAGGCAAGTGCAGGCTAAAAAATGTAAGAAAAAAACCTATTTATATGATTTATTTAAAAAATACTATCTATACATATATATTCTTCCATGTACATACATACATATCTATATGCTCCCTAACGCTGTTCAACTAGAAACTCAACCATGTGGCATGTACCCGAAAATAACTGTTAATAAATCAAGAGAGACTAAAAAAGATTCTTACTTCATTCTGTGCTGCAATTATCAAGTAATTGTAATAATAATAAAAGAAAAAGTCTTTTAGATTTTTATAAGAGAAAAAATAAAAATCAATGTTTAATTGTTATAAATTGATTTTAATATATTTTGCTTGCCATTAATAATTATAATTTTACATTTTCTTGATTGCTCAAACAATAATTATTATTATAAGAGATATAATGATTATTTTTTGAGCGATATTTTTTCGCTATGAATTTCGCTCAATGTGTAATATCTTCCTTCTAAGAAGTTTCTTAGAAAAAAATTTTACATGATTTTATGAATAATAATAATTATTTTGTGGGTAATTAAATAAAACTTAAAAATTAATAATTAAAATTGGTTTAATCTATACAAATCTAGATTTCAGCTCTTATTGATTATCTTGAAAGAGCATCCAAATTGTAGCCAATTGGTATAATTCGTTTTTTTTTCATGTGGATGATTTTTTTGTTTAAAGAAAACATTGATAATCATTATTTACGGTCCCTGCACTAATTTCACAGCAAATTTCCCAGCTCAGCTCAGTTTTCAGTGTGGGTGTTAGTTTCTCTGAAATTATCAGCTCCGCTTTCCGCCGCCATTGTGCGCTGGACATAATTCCCGAGGGATAATACAACTAATAAGAACTAGGGAATAGATTTTTTTAAATTTAATTTAATCATAATTTCCGAAATATTTATAGGAAATAATTTATTCATTTAAAAAAATATCAAAGGTACATTTTTAGACTAAATAGAAGTTGAAATAATCTATATTGGTATAGGCTGACATTTTGGTAGGGGATTTCCCGCTATTTTCTTAAAATATTTATAAACTATCAAGTGAAGTACAAAGTAATTGTAAAAAGAAAAAACAGAAAAATATAAAAACAAATCAACTTTTTTGTTGTGAATTTCCCCAAGTTAGAGAATTCTTAAAAATAGATTTTAGTTTACAATTTCAGCCTACAAAACTGTAGAAAGCGTTTATCCATTTTATCCATCGAGAATGGAAAGTATTAGCTGGGTTAACGACTGGAAGGCCTGCGTGCTGATGTCCGCCGATCGTTTGTAGGAGGGCTATTGGAGCAAATAAGAAACATACAAATTTTACAAAAATTACCAAGGTTTTTTCATGTTTTCCATGGACTATATGCATATGCCAGTATTTTTTATACCCTTGCAGGGTATTCTAATTTTAGTCAGAAGTTTGCAACGTAGAGAAAAAGACGGTTCCGACCCTATTTATATATTCTTGATCGGCATCAACAGCCGAGTCGATCTAGCCATGTCCGCCTGACAGTTTCTATGCAAACTAGTCCCTCAGTTGTAAAGCTGTCTGAATGAAACATGCAGCCTTCTGACTATTTTTACTCCTATATATGTCGGAACTACACAGATCGGCCGACTATATCATATACATAGCTATATCATAGAAGAGATCGAAAAGTTTTCGAAAAAAAAGATATAACTTTGCCACTTTTTCACCTAATTTAAGAATTTCGGTTTTAGTTTTATGAACATCAGACGACTATACGAAAAAGTTAACATGGAAACGATGGGTAGATGTAGAGCAAAATGTAAAGCTGTCAATGTAAAAGTGTAACTGTAAATCTGTAAACTAAAAATATATAATTATGATCAATTAGAAAACTGCAAGGGTATACAAACATCGGCGTGCCGAAGTTAGCTTCGTTTATTGTTAATTCCTATGAAATGTGAAATATTAATTGAATATTAATATTTATAATATCATCATTTTACGTGGTTTTCGAAAATTCCTAGAAATATAATGTATAATTATAATACAAAACTGTAATGGCTTTACTTAAAACTCCTAGACAAACATTGTTGTAGGTGGTTTCAAATCTCTTCAAATGCAAACACGAAACTTATTTTGACGTATCGGCTGGGGATCGACTATACACTCTGCGAAATATTTGTTTAAATACTAAGAAGATGACAAATGATGAGCATGACATAAGTCCAAGTTTGATAATAAAGAAATTAGCAGTTTGGTTAATGAATCGAACAAATTAGAAAGTAAAGAGCCTTTCTGAAAATATTCCCATTTAATACACGTTTAATACACCACTCACATGCCCGAAAGAAACGTCAAGGATGGCCAGGAACAGGAGGAACGTAGGGAACCATTCTTGTGTCATTTTGACCCAAAACTTGTTGATGTGTAACGTCTACTTGACGTGCCCAATAACTATGAACTTGGAAGCGATTCTTTTTTGTTGGCTTATTAATTCTGTTTACTTGGGTATTATTTTTTAATGCTCCCAATTTATTTCTGCTTACAGACTGAAAACGCATCGCGAAAGTGTCGCATTTTTATGCTGAATTTTCAAACTGCCAAATGGGCGGCGCTGGCGACCTACATTCCCATTTTCCGATTTTGCGGCAGTTCCACCTGTCATCATCCGATCTCTGCCTCTCCCCCCAATTATTACCGGCATTGTTCTTCGTTTGCTACTCACTATTGGCAGTTGCCAGTTGCGTGAGTGGTAATTGACCAGGCCTCCGAACAATGGGAAGGACATCAGAGTTGGGTGTAATGACAGCTCGCACTTTGATTACTCATACACCTGTGATTACATGCGACACTTTTCGGGAAGTGCCTGAGCTTCTACAAACAGACTTTGGGACTTTACTAACTGTGACAGTGTCTTCTTTTTACCTAAGGGTAACTATACTAGCAGTCTTGTTGCAAAAGTTGCAAATATCGCTGACAGCAGCATATAGTTGTGAGCATTAACAAGGAAGGAAGCTTGCTTCGGGACCCTGAAGTTTCAATACCCTTGCACTTTGCAATTAGATCGATTCGAATGAATTCAAAACTGAAAAATTTGTTCATAAACGAAACGAACTTTTGCTAATTTTTTAAGCTTTTCATAGTCTTTACATTGACCGATCTCTCATATCGCCACTATATATGTGTTGTCCGATATTCAAATTAATTAAAAACATTATTTCAAAATTGTAAATAGGAACTATAGCTTTGTAAATATATTAAAAATAAATTAAAGAAAAAGGGTTATTTTTTCAATATTGCATCTATGATCGTTCGATTTCATTTCTTTAAAACCAAATTAAAAGTTGTTGTTCAAACTAAAATCATCAAAAATATTACCCTTCTTAGAGTAGATAACAACATATTGTACAACGGCCAAGTAATAATATTTTCAGAATCTATTAAGCCGTCAATCGCAGATGATCTTAAGCCAATGGGGTTTCTTTTTGTAGCATAGCTTTGGATACCTGTAAAACGTAGCAATTTTTATAATGAATTGGTTTGCTTTAAAAACTGATTTCGAGTTGACCCTAGGTCATTTGTCTGCCATACCACTTAATTGGTATCAAAAGCTGGTCATATTTATGATCCCTTACAAAGAGTATGAACCAAATTTAATTATAGTTTTTGATTTCTTCATCGGATTTCGGATTTACCACCGTTTACCAGCGTAATACTATTTGTAGGTATTTTCCAGATTCAAAAATATATCTTTTTTTTTTAAATTTTTTTATTTTTTTGCAAAGAAACCTGACTGGCTGCCAAGACCTCCTCGGCCGTCGTCATCGAATGGATTGGGTGGAGTGGGTGTGCGTGAGTGGGCGTGGTTGTGGCCGCAGGCGGTGGGCGATGAACGATTGGCGATGGGCAGGTGGCATGGGAATCAGGCTGTATTTTAAAGCATACATAACACTAATCAGCCAGAGACCGGACACCGGATAACGTCGGCGGTGACTGGACAGCCGCTTCGGGGAATTCCAGAGCCGCAGCAGTCACAGCAGTCCGGCGGCCACCACTCTTACTTGACTTTCGTCGCTTAGTAGGAGGGAGCCGCATAGCTGCCGGATCCGGAGGGACCGGCGCCGTAGTGCTGGTGGCCATGGCCGGAGCCATAGGGACCCTCGCGCTCACCGGCAATGTTGGCGAGAGCGGACAGACCCTGGTTGCCACTCTGGAGCAGCTGGTATCCGGCGCTGGCAGCGGCGGAATCAGCTCCCGATGCGTAAGCGGGCAGGGCGCGACCACCGTCGTGGTTGCCATGTCCAGAGCCATGGGGTCCGGCTCCGTGACCGCCGTGACCGTGTCCGCCATGACCGCTGTGTCCACCGTGTCCGCTGTGTCCGTGTCCGGAGCCGGAATGACCCTGGCCGTAGCCCTGCTTGTTCTCATTGACAAAGTATTTCTCTGCTGGGGGCTTCACCACGTTGACGAAGACGGGCTCCACCTTGACGCGACGTGGGTGGTGCTTGACGTAAACCTTGCGCAGCACGATTGCTGGGGGCTTGTGGAGCACCACGGGGGCGGGCTTCACCACCAGTGGGGGGTGGTTGACCAGGACCTTGGTGGGCGGGCGCTTGACGATGATGGGGGCGGGACGATGGATCAGGATCTCACCCTTGTTCTGGGGATATGTGATTGAGGAGGTGAGGGTGTTGCCCTTGGTGTTCACGGGCTTGTAGGGGATGTTCTGGTCCGAGCCGTAGCTGCTCTGGCCGGAGCCATAGCCGCCCTGGCCTCCAGCCTGGGCGACTCCAGCAGCATCAGCGCCAGACTCCAGACCCTGGGATCCGGCACCAGCGCTGCCGTACTCGCCACCAGCTCCGCCGGCAGATCCAGCAGCAGCTGCAGCCGCCGAGGCGGCATCAGCTCCATCGGAGCCACCGCCATGGCCGCCGGACACGGGTCCGCCGTAGCCCTGGGGTCCGCCATAATTGGCGCTCGCACAGGCCTGCAAAGGAACAGAGAGCAAACAGAAGTTTAGTAGATTGCGGGGTCAGAGTAATATAAATCCTATTTGCATCTGCTTTCTGGGATTGTATGTTATATTGTTCGAATTGAACAATTCCAATCGGTGTATATATTTTAAGAACTTTAGAGAACTGTTTTCTTTTTCCTAAATACTCTGAAGTATATCGTAATATATAATATATTACAATATTGAATATTGGTTTTTGTCAAGTGAAAAGCGGACAGATGTTTGGTCCAAGCCAGTCCTCTGTGAATTCCCTGAGTCTGAGACCTCACGGATTCAATCCTCCGAATCAAACACTTACGATCAGGCAGGCGGCTAGCGCCCAAATGTAGGTCGATCTTGTCATCTTGTCCTCCGGTGCAGTTCCAGTTGCTTTTCGGCCGCTGGTTGTGCTCCCACTTGGATTGTCGGCTGTCTTCTGGTGCCCTCCGTTGGCGGCCTGCTACTTTAAATATGCTCCGGATGGGTCTCTGGCATTGGGTACGTGACATTTCGCCCAGTGGCGACTCCGGTGCCGGTGGTTCCGTTCCGCTTTGTTGTTGCGCCCCCGACTTGACCATTGCGAGAACATGGCCAAACGCTGATAGGTCGCACGCATCTCATCGCATCGCACCCAGCGCATATCACGGCGTCTTCAGCTTCAGCTTCATCTTACAGAGAAACCCAAGCCCCAAGCCCCTAGCCAAAAACAGCAAGAACCCAAGCCAAATCGGAATCAGCTGCCGGGCATTGGATCTCGGCCGCATATCGAGGTCCGAACGTCTGCGCAGATTGCGAAAATAGTTCCGCATTGGCAGACATACTATGGTGCTATAATTCGGAGTCGGGAGAGAGGGAAACCAATTCTAAAAATACCAGCTCGATATGGACCATCGATTCTTGTTACGCCTCAAAAAAGGTCCTCCTGCAATTCCCTGAGGAAGGGAGTAGGGGAGTAAATGCAGTTACGATTTTGGGTCTACAAGTTTTGTAGGTTTGTATGTTTAGACTAACGGACTCCTTATTGGTACTGAATGAAAAAGCCATCAAGTTTGATTGATGATAATGACACACATGCATTATTTGAGAGAAGAAACAAACTTAATTTAAAAATAGTAATAGTAATTTAAATTATTTCTGTGCATATAGTTAAGGTAGATAGAGGCATATAAGCAGATACAGAACACTCACCCAAAAGAGCCGATTAAACAGAATAACTCTGTTTATCCTGTACGCGCCTAGGAACATTATAAAAAGCACTGCTAGTGTATTTATCATAAGATTTGTTATCTTTATTCATTGAAGATTTGTATCATATTCACTCTATATATACTTTATGTAAGTAAAAAACATAAAATAGAGCTTTGAGATTTTATGCATCCTTTTTAAAATCCAATAAAAAAAATAAAAGCCTGAAAATTCTAGGAATAAGATGAAACATATTGAACAAAAATTTATAAAATAAAATCAAACGATTTTCTAGACCAAATGACACGATTCTATGGCCAAATATCTTTTCCTTTTATTAGTGTATGCATTGTCTCTGTTGGCTGATATCGTAGGTTTTATTTTGGGAAGTCTCCTATTCCCCCCTTTCATATTTTATTTTTAGAGGTGTCTCTTATCCAAAATTCAAAACATTATTTTTTAAAATTATTGGAATTTTCTTTAAAAAAAATTGAATACGTTTTCTATGTTTCTCTATGCATAAGTCAGTTTTGAATGATAAGCCATGTTTTGTTATAGTAAACAAGAAATACAGTACGAACCATTTAGGCTACCTACCTACAGAATCTGTAGTACAGAATTATCAATCAAGAATTTTCCATTGTTAAGTACGGGCAATATCTGAGAAGATAGCTACTGTGCATCTTACGGATAATAAATGCATTTCCCTTCGATATATATTATTCGTACATCTACAAATACAAACTTGAATTGATCTCAAGAGGTGTGTTTGTAAATAAAATGAAAAGTTAACCCAAAACCCCCTCTTAAAACTTGCAATTTGGTCAAATTATGAACACATTCTTTGCTTAAACCTGAAGAACTACATTGAAAGAATGTGAATATATATGTGAATAGCATATGGTATTATTTCAATAAATAAATCAAAGTGTTGAATCCCAGTTAGTTATGCATTTTCTTATGATACAAACATTTAGCTTCGGTCTTTTCTCCACTGTCAGGCCTTCAAAGTGGCTGTTTAACTAGCCAAGCTAAATACTATAAATAGATTTGTTCATAAACATATAGCAGTGTAATCACTTTCCATTTCCCGTCCCCAACAAAGTAATTTCCACGAATTGTTTATATTTTAAGCATTTCTTTCTTTTCGTCTTTTATTTGCACACAGCGCACTCGGCCGACAAATAAGGTAAAAAAAGGAGAAAATTAAATTAAACTAGCCGCGACGGCCTGACGGTGGGGGCGAAGCTCCTTAGTAGTTGTTCTGGCCGTAGGGCGCGGGGCTGGCGTACAGGGGAGCCTCGTTGCCGGCGGAGTAGCCATCGGCTGAGGAGGCGGCACCGGCAGCAGAGGCGGCACCGGAGCTACCATAGCTCTGACCATAACCCTGGGGCTGGTGGTTGTACTGGGGGGCAACCACCGGAGCCAGCGGGGCCTCAATCTTCTTGCCGGGCTTGTAGACCTTGACGTAGACGGGATTGAGGCTGAGGGGAGTGGGCACCTTGTTGATCACCTCCTGCTGGTAGATGACCGAAGGCTTGATCTTGTAGATCACCGGATTGCCACGGACCACCGTCGGGGGGCCGCTGTTCACATGGGCTGGCGGTGCGCCCGGCTGGTGGACAATGATGGGGGGCAGGGGCTGTGTGGCGATCACCTGGTGATTGTTGTGGCCCGACGGCACCAGCAGCGAGCGGAAGAGGTGCTGGTCGACGAACTGGGGCGACACCACCTTGATCTTGCCCTGGCGGATGTTGCTGGCCAGGTTGGTCTCCGCCAGCGACTCGGCGATGTCCTCCGAGTTCTTCAGCTTCTGGTAGTTGGGATCGGCGTTCAGAGCCTGGAGCTGAGCCTGGACGCGACCCAGACGGCGGGCCTCCTCCGGGGTGGGCTGGATCTCTGCCTGCGAGGCGATCTGGTTGGCCGCCGGTTGGTTGCCGCCGGTGGCCACATTCACGTACTCATCGAGTCCGGCATTGGGGCCGCCCGACAGGTACTGTCCACCACCACTGTGGTGGCCATGACCGTGCCCATGGCCATAGTTAGCGCTCACCAGCTGAGGGAGACAAGAAGGTGGCAAAGAGATTAGTTGCGAGTTACACGTATCCCTCCGCCGCGAAATATTTAGTCGGAAATTACAGAGGAAGGAGGCAGCGTGTTAGGAGTTGGGAATTACTAACCGGCGCGGCGGCGATGGCGAAGATGCCAAACCAGAGACCGAGTTTCATGTTGCCGTTTACGTGTGGATTGGATCGTCTACTGCTCGGTGTCTGGCAAAGACTCCGGCTCTTTATAGCGCCTATAATCGCTAGTCACCACGGCCAGCTACGTGATCCATCTCCATTTCCGATTTGGCCGCATTGTTGTCTCGCCATCGTGCCGAGATCAGAGACAACCTCCTAACCCCCAGAGTGGTCTGCAGTCTGCTTTCCGCCCCGTCGCAATCTTCTCTTTGTCGGTGTTCGGGTGGGTCGCCTTGGCCTGAATCGTCATAGGATGACTCTGTCAGAGATGGCCCAAACATACCTCTCAAATGCTGTAGATATCTCTTAGCGATCGAGTCCCGAGTTCTTTCTCTTCAAGAATAGACACTATCATTAGGATGTGATATGGACATTATGTATTGGGGATGCTGTCTGATCATCTTCTCTTTGAGCACTTGAGTCAGGAGATAAGTACTTCTGACTCTTGGCATTGCTTTCTCATTTTCTCTTCGAAACGGTTGAGTTACTGGCACTATATGTTTTGGGTACTTACGTGTGGTTTTTGGTTCTCTCTTTGGAATATCTTCAAATGGATCTGATCTTTACGAAATTTAGACTTACTGGTCAAAACCATCTCTTCAATCTGTTTAATTTTTCAGATATAATTTGGACCAGGTGATAAAAGATTTCCTGAATAGATTGGCTTGATTTGACATGGTTAACTTTTTAATAAATTGGGCTACAGTGTTCAAGACAGCCTCTAGTATTTGCGAACTGTTGCATCAGTGCGTGCTATAAGTCTATATGTCTATATAGTCTCATAGCCATAAAATACCATTTTCAGGTAAATTCTCTGCTAACCCTCCTAACAGTAAAACATATTCGAATTATAGCCTACAGTCCATGGTACGATAGTAGTTATACTGGTTTCCAATCTATATTTATACCATATTGTATTATATTTATAATCAAACATATTAGGGTTTCAATGCACGTTTTTTGGGCTTTTTTATTATTAGTTTTTATCTAGAATGTTAGAAGTACAAAAATTATTTCGTATTTGGTTTTCATGTGAACGAAAATTTCGTAAAAATTGGTTTAACCCATTTTAAAAAGAGAATAAACTGCTAGTGAATCTTTCGATCGCGCAGCAATATTCATAACTTGGTCCAAAATATTTGTTAAAATATAAACATAAAACTTGAAATTCAGTTAAATGTGTTGTATTTTTATTTTTTATTTTATTTTAATTATATAATCGCTTATAAAAAACAATACTCAGGAACTTTAGCATACCTTGGGGCACTAATTGGTCGTCTAGTAATCTTTTTATAAGATCAAGGGTTTGGTTTATAACAGGATAAACTCACTGATGTGTTCAATTTCATTTATATAATATAATTAATACACAAATGTCCGATATACTGAAAATGTCTCCCTTTTTGGTGGTAAATTAGAGTTTTCAGAACACAAACTTGTTATGTTTTTCTTGACTTTATTATTGTATTTGGACTATCCTTAATCTCTGTGTTTTTGTGTGGTGTATGTGTGTGTTTCCTTGGGTGTGTGTTGTGTGGTTCAGCCTCATTTATGGAGCTCCAAGGATCTCCTTACAGACCTCGTCGGTACAGAAGATAGGCGAGGTCGCGTGTAGGTCGACTGCCGTAGTCGTTGAAAGGCGACTTAAAGGTCAGCTGACTGTTTAAGGAGTCACCCTCCTCCTCGTAGCCAACGGCTTCTCCTCCTCCGTCTGACCCAGATCGCACTGGCGCTGAATTCGTTTGGGAGGCGTGCAGCTGATCCTCGCTGGAGTTTATGATGTAGCCAAGTTTCTGCGGCTTCTGGTATCTGATTTGTGTGTGCTGAGGTGCTTCTCGGTACTGGTGTTGTTGCTGGTGTCGGTGTTGTTGTGGGTGTTGTTGTCGGTGTTGGTGTTGGTGTTGGTGTTGGTGTTGGTGTCGGTGTTGTGGGTGTGACTGTGTCCGAGGAGTGTAGAGTTGTGTGTGCTGCAGTGCGTAGTTGTAGTGGTGTGGTTGCTGGCGCTGCTGCTGCTGCGACTGCTGATGGATGAACTGCTGCTTCATGGCCAACGAGCGGCTATCAAAGCTCTGCTGCTGGCTACCCCTAAAGTAGCCACCGCTTGCAATTCTCTGAGGAGGAGGCGAAGAAGTAACCTTTCCGTCCGGCCGCTCGGCACCCGGCAGGTACTCGTGATGCACCTCCTCGTGGACACCGTTCTGGGTCTGATTTATCAACCGGTTGTACTCCTCGTTGGTGCCGCCCACCTGCAGATGAATGGCATGCTTGAAGTCGTCGCCCAGATGCTTCAGCCAGAAGCTTTCATCCACCTCGCCGGTGGTATAGATTCTGGTGGTCTGCCCACTCTTTGTTCTGCCCGCCGTCCCCGTCTCCGTTCCAGTTCCCGTCCCCGTACCCGTGGCAGCCATAACATCGATTACGTCGTACTGTTCTTCGTCCCCACGCTTCTGTCCCGACCCCCCGGACATGGGCTCCACTCGAGCGGCCTTCCGGAGATCGCCATTGAACATCCGGTCGGTGGTCCCCTCCAGATTGGGACTAGGAGTCGTACTTGAACTCGTGCTGCCATCGAAAGCCGCCTCATCGCTGGGTGTGGTGTCGCCGGGGCTCTATTGGCGTGAAAATGGGATTAGGAATTAAGAAAAAAAAAAAAAGAAAGTCCCCAAAAATGAACTCACCTCGCTGAGAATCCCTAGCGGCGTTGCTACTAAAAACAGCAACGATATTATGGGCCATTTTGGCCACATTTTGGCGTAGTTAAGGTTCAACTGAAGCCCCACCGGCCCATGAATTCCATTTAAATACTCCCAGAAAATGCAGCCACATGAGCATGCCCCATTCTATAAGTCTTGACCAAAAAAAAAAAAAAGACGTGCCGGGACGTGATCTATAACCAGATATAGCCGTACAGATGGCTCATCCACACGAATCTCCAGCGATCTTGATGCGTCAGTCGATGGCGAGAGAGTGCTTCCAGGGTCATTTGAATTCTTTTGCTCTACTCAATGGGCTCGGACTCCGGCTCCGGCTTTGTCGTCTGCTGCCGGGTGAAGTTCTTTTCTGGATCTTCTGGCTATGTACAAATACAAAGCGTGTTATGTGCCATCGATGGCATGCTAGAATACATGGTTTACATGCCGAACGACACATGTACACTGGAACATATTCGGAGACTTGCAAAATTCCAAAATAAACCAGAACAAATTTGTAAAAAAATCGCAATACAAACACCTTCAGAAATGCACAGCTCAAATTAATTGTAAGCACTAGACAATAATGGTGGTTGGGTGGGATGTTTATGCAGCACTTTCAACTCACTTTTAGTATGAACTTGCCGGGTATTATAATTTTAGCCAGAAGTTCTTGATCACCATCATCAGTCGAGTTGATCTAGCCATGCCTGTCAGTCCGCAACTACGCAAACTAGTCCGTCAGTTTTTAAAAAGTTTGCAAATAGTCTTTCGGCAGTTTTGTGGAACTATTCCGATAGTTTTTGATGCGCTTAAATAACTATTCTTGGCCTTAAAAATCAGTTTTTAAAGTTTTCATAAATTATTATTGGTCTCTGAGAAATCGTCTCTTGAATTTAAATCGATGATTTTTCCATATTTTTCCGATTTAAATAATATGTATAGAAGAAAGGTAGCTAACTTCGGGTCGGCAAAGTTTGTATATCCTTTCAGTTTGCAATTGGATCACTAAAAATCTATTCCTTTTGGTCAAATTAAAAGAAAAACTAACGGGTGATATATATAAAATAAATGATATATAAAAACATAATTTTTAAATCGTATAAAATAACTATGTTTTCGATTAGAAATATCTTATATTCAATGGCAGATATATGATGTAGTTGTCAAATTTTCATAAAATTAAAACGGAAAGTCTGAAATGAAAAATGGCCATATCTCAAAGAAGATAAAAACAAGAAAGGAAGCTAACTTCGGCACGCCGAAGTTTGTATACCCTTGCAGATATTATTTCATTACATTTTACCTATACTTATTAAGTTTACAGTTTGACAGTTACAGTTTTGCATTCCCAGCTTTACATTTTGTATACATCTACCGATCGGTTTATATGGCAGCTATATGATATAGTTGTCCGATTCTTTTGAAATTTATACCAAAATTCTAGAATAATAAAATAAGCTTATATCCCGGAGTAGATTAAAATACGTTGAAAAACAACGAATATATAATTTTTTTTCTATTAAATTCCCGATCGTTCCTATGGCAGCTATATGATATAGTCGTCCGATTTTCATAAAATTTTTAACAAAATTCAGAAATAATATAAAATTGTCATATCTAAAAAATGGTGCCAAAATGTTGAAAAACAATAAAGTTATAATTTTTTTTCTAAAAATATATCGAACATTTGTATGGGAGCTATATGATATAGTCGTCCGATCCGGCCCGTTCCGACATATATAGCAGTGAGAGTATATAGAAGACTATATGCAAAGTTTCATTGAGATAGCTTTAAAACTGAGGGACTAGTTTGCGTAGAAACGGACAGACGGACGGACGGACAGACGGACAGACGGACGGACAGACGGACAGACGGACAGACGGACATGGATAGATCGACTCGGCTGTTGATGCTGATCAAGAATATATATACTTTATAGGGTCGGAAACGTCTCCTTCACTGCGTTGCAAACTTCTGACTGAAATTATAATACCCTGCAAGGGTATAATAAGTTGAGACACGGTGAAGTTATAATATTTTCTACTTCTTACTTATATAGCAGTCAGAGTGCTCAGAAGACAATCTTCAGAGTTTCCTTTAGACCTGTTTGGGTAGAAACGGGCACACGGAAATGGCTAGATCAACTCGGCTGTTCATGCTGATCAATAATATTTATAGGGTCGGAAATGTCTCCTTCACTGCGTTGCAAACTTTTGACTAAAATTATAATAACCAGCAAGAGTATAAAAATATCGATAAAAATTTAAAAGACGACATCTCGAAGATCCATAAAGATTTTCCCAAACTTTAAAAACTGATTGTAAAATGCAAGAACAGTAAATAATAATAATGCAAGAAATAAAAAAATAAAAAAAAATAAATCGTATTGAACTTACAGCACCTCAAAAATCAATATTTAGTTTATTAGTTGGAACGAGCTACATGGGAATACTGTAACATATAGATACAATCAAAAAAATGTTATGAAAAATAATTATTACTGCGAGCTTAAAATATATTTTCATCTAATCTGAGATATGGTCATTTAGTATTACATCAGAATGTCGGTTTGTCAAAGAAAAATTCGGTAGTTTTAGAGAAAAATATTAAACTGTAACTATTGGCATTAATTCATTCCTTTTTAAAATATATATTTACAGTTTACATTACATACTTCTACCTTGAGATATGCGTTTTTAAAATATTGTTTTTGAAATTTAATCAGACCCGAATCTCCTTCCTTTCTTTTCATTTAACCAAAATGAAACGATTCCTAATGATCCAATTGCAATCTGCAAAGTTTTTACACCTTCGGCGTGCCGCTGGTAGCTTCCTTTCTTGTTTGCTTTTCGGTCGTAGGTTGTTAATTGATTTTCAAATTGGTTATAATTTATCCTAATTAATCAATCGGGGTTTTTCATATGTTATTCTGGCACATACTTTCAATTCAAGTTGACCGATAAGCCAGTGTCACCTATTGATTTGGAACAACTTAGCATAAATCGAATTACTTATATTGGGAATATGTGTGCTGTGGGAAGAGTAGATTATTATTATTAATCAAATTTGGATACACGTATACAGCTACTAGTAGAGTAGTTCGCTAGAGATCTTTTTCACTTTTGTCGGCACGTAGTTTTTCGTCTCATTGGCTGTATGGTTACTTTTATATAAATATGCGTTTGCAAGAATTCGGTTGTCGGCTCTTATCAGAGGTTTGAAAACATCGAAGATTTCAAACATCTATGTTTTTTTAACATCTCATCGATGCCAACATCGAAAATTCCGATTTTTTAAAGTGAAATCATTGATACATCGAACAAATTTAAAAGACAAATCTAACTTATTACAAGTTAAGGAACTTCGTTAATGAGATCAATTACGGTTCGCTCTCACCACCACCACAATGAGGTTATCTGATCAATATTTTAAGTAATTATTTTTTTGTAAATTTAATGTTGAATATACAACAACATCGTTTTTGGTTCCTACACTCTTCACGTTCTTTCTGATTGTGGAAATGGGAAAATTTTATAAAAACCATCGATGTTGGGTATTCTTTTCCAAACATCGATCGGTAAAAGATCGATCGCTTCCTAATTAGCGATCAGAAAGCAATTGAAAGGTTTACATACCTTACATTACATTTACATTGTTTTCCCCCATGATTCAAATGATTCGAAATGTAGAAAATATATTCCTTAAAGTTAGTTGTACTTCTACTTCAATGGTTTAATCGTAGTTAACGCACATTAATAACTGCATCCAATATCCAAAAACGTAAAAGATAGAAGGTATTACGAAGAAATATTTCAAAAATAAATAATAATAATTGCCAAATGTTTGAGATTTGGGGTATACTTTCGGGGGCGGGCTGTCCAAGCCGTGGTGCCCAACCCGAACCCGAACCCGAACCCAAACCATCGAATCGATATAAGTTTTGATCAAGCAAACAAACACTTTATTAAACTTTTAAAATGGGGCCAGCTGAAAGCGGAAGAATGAACACAGAAATTTGTTTTGGGACTTGGACTTGGACGGAGACAGAGAACCAGAAGCCCGTGCTCCACTAGCCCACTTTGGGCCGTGGTTAGAGCCGAGCTCAGCAGATTGTGCTTGGACGGGCGAGACCTCTCTCAGTAGCTGTCGCAGCTGCAAAGAGAAGAAAGACGAAGCGATTGGTGAAAAAAAGAAAGAAACGCCGCAATCTTTTTCAATTTATTTTGTATATTCTGTTTTTTGGTTTTTTGTGTTTTGGGCTTTTTGTTTTTGGTTTCTGGGTTTCTAACTAATAGTTACTACATCTAGGGGTCGTGGGTAGCTCCGGTCTAGAACCAGGCCCTCAGGTAATCCGTAATGGGCGGCACATTGTAGGTGTCTACACTGTAGCCATTCTGGGTGTGGCTGTTGTAGCCGTAAGTCTTCGCCGGCCGCGTGGAGTAGTCCGCACGGAGGGCTTCATCCGGCTCCGTGGCAGAGTCGAAGCCCCAGCCCCCCAGGCGACCGTCTATGAGTTTCTTGAGGAAGTCAGTCGTCTGCTGTTTCTGCACTGGCTCCGGATCGACCAGGCTGCCTCCCCCCTCTGTGCTCGAGTAGCTGTAGCCTGGATGGTTATACACAATGCCGGAGATAATGCTGTCCAGCTGTGAGTCAGACACATGCTCCACGGGGTAGCCGCCGCCGAGGCCGAGCCCCTGAAGCAGGGATCCGCCGTATGAGCGGCGGGTCACGGCCTCAAGATCCCCGGCGAACTGCAGGGGCGTGGAGCTGTGCTCCAGCGGATCCGGCACCGAAGTGGTCGACAGCAGCGTTCTTAGCTGCGAGTCGTCGACGAACTTGTAGCCCGTCTCGTGTCTTTCGGGGGGGAGCAGCGGCGATGGAATCTGGACCAAGGGATAGTACCCGAAGGCGGCCGCCCTCTTCGCCGGAATCGAGTTGGGCTGCTGCTCCTCAAGCGGCGCCTCGGTGGGCGTGGTCTCCTCCACTGGCATTTCTTTTGGGACAGCCGGCTCTGGGTATGGCTGTGGATCTGGAGGCGGGGCGTGTGCGGTCATTGCTCCGCAGCCCATATGGCACTGTCCGGGCTTAAAATCCGGACTCAGAGCCTCCGGCATGAACTGGACTATTTCGGGAGCCGTGAGATCAATCTGCGAGCGCTCCTGCTCTATGAGATCGAACTCGCCCTTAATGTCGCGCTTTCGCAGGCGATGACCCAGTCCCGTCCAGGTGGGTGGCACCTTTTTGGTCTTCCGCTTGGACTTAATATCCGCTGTCGGGGACTCCACGGCCAGGAGGCCAAGGAGGCCAAGCTTCTTCTGCTGCTGGGCGGCCAGATCCTTGTGATATAACTTTACGTAACGCGGCGGACGGTCCTGAAGCTGCTGCTGGCGCATGAGCCGCCGGCGGAGGAGGGAACCAGGCGGCCTGAGATCCCTACGCCGACGTATCGCATTCGGCGATCTGACCGGAGGAGCTACGTACCTGGGCTTCTGGGTGGAACAGCTCGAGCAGCTGCATGACGACTTGTACTTGGCCTGGCAGTCTGCAGTGGAAGGAGAGTGGTTAGAAAGACAGATTGGATGCCAAGTTTGGAGGAACGTACCGCCCTTGTTGACTGTAACCCGGTCCACCTTGGCGTAGAGCTTGGCAGGATTGACCTTAGGCGGAGCCGGAGTGCGCGGCTGCTCTACGGTGAAGTCGAAGCTGTAGGTGATCTTGGCCTTCGTCTGAACGGGCTTCTCCACACGGTAGCCGTAGTCGCTGCTCGCGTACTTCTTGGGCTTGGGCGGATTGGGAACGTTTAGTTGGTAGCCCAGCTGGGTGGGGCAGGCACAGCCCTCGTCGCCCGTGTACACGACCTCGACGGGAGCCGCTCGGAGCGGCGAGGAGTAAATCACAAGAACGAGGAGAAGGCCTAGGCCCAGGCCCAAAGTGGGATGTCGCATCTTGAATGGAATTGGATTGATCTGCTCGGTTGTCCGCCTTGGTGGCTACTAGCCGCAGAATGCACCGATGCATTCTTTATATCGCATCACCAAGAGTGGCATCCGCGGCACGGGCACGGGTCATCGGCAATCTCTCACGCAGCTCCGGACCCCAATGAACTTGACTTTGAGCAAGGTTTTCTTCATCGCCAGAGACTCTGGCCGGAGACGGAGACAGGGGAGACGGGAGACACAGTCGCCGGCAGACTGTGTTGTTGTTTTCGCTGACCGCTGACCTTTTCAAATAGTACGCCGCGGGTAGTGTTTTCAGTCAAAAGTCATGTTCCCGGCGTTCGCAGCTTTCTTCAGTGTCGCTCCGGGCAAAGACTCGAGATCCAAACTTTAAAAGCTACAGTCAGGCTTCGCAAACAGCAACTGCTGTACCCAGCACCAGAACTGTGCTGGCCAAAATATACTCAATCCTGTGATACGAATTGTCAGTTAGATGGGTCAATACACGACAAGGACCTGGACTCAAGTGTTCAAAGACTTTGATGTCTAGCTTCGACTTAAAAAACGGAAAAGAAGACAATTCTAAATTAAAGTCTCATAGATATAATAATGTTATATATAAAATAATGTTATATAAAAATATGTTTTATGTGTTGTGTTTTATAAATAACATAAATTATATTGCTCAGTTTTTTATACAACATTATATTTCATCCAAAGTAGTACTTATTACGCATTCTGGTATCAAAATTATGATAACAATCAATGTTTTCGGTGTGTTTTTGTACTCTTTCCATATTTTCGGTTCAGTATTGCCATAAAACTACAACAATTTTAATGGCTTTTAATCATATATAAAAAATACAAATAAAAGTGTTTGTATTTTGGGATGCTTTTCTCTTTTTTTATTAGATTGAATTTTCCAATTAGAAATATATAAAGGCACTGTTAAATATAGAATTATAAAAGAAAAAAGTTAAACAGAAATTGAATTGTTTTGAGTGGCAATACTTTCTCGATTGTTTTAAAACTAACGATACTATCGCATATGCACCATCGATGGTTTAACAGCTCCAAACTGAACTTGAATATTTCAGTTCTGCTAGGCACATTTCCCTGTTGTAAATACCTAATTAATACAAAGCCGTAAGTTGTGGGAATAATTCGCAAAGTAAGACTTTAAGAACTTTAAGAAATCATATTCTAGGCAATTTAATATTTGATACACTTGTCATCGCAATCATAATGAAAATATGTACGTAACACAACAATTATAATGCTTTTTCTGACCATTACCTTGCAAGACAAGAGCGATTAAGCAGTCTGACTTCTAATATTTCGTGTCAGCATTTTCCGCTTCTCTTGGCGCCATAAAAACGTGTTCATTGGTGAGCGTTTTGGATTCAATTAATAGTGTAATACCGCAAAATACAATCTTCTGCAGTTTGGTGACCAATAAAGAAAGCTGGCTCGTTGAATTTCTTAATATTCTTCTGGGGAGCGGAAGATTCATTTGGTTTGCTAAATAGCCAAGACTTCTTGAGACAACAATATTAAAAGGGAAGTCATTGGTATTTCTCTAAATATATTCTCTAGGATCTAACTTAGACAGACATCGTCCATTCACTCCTTAGCGTATATACATATTTACAAGCAAAGGGATCGGGATTAGTTATTTTAGTAGTAGCCTTCCTCGGTGTCCTCGCGCTTGGCCTTGCGATATGAGGTGATCCTGCCTGGCTTGAAGCCGCAGTCCACGGACACCTTGCCGGCAACCTTGCCGTAGCTGTCGTTCGAGTCCTTATAGTCCTTGTAGGCCTTGTAACCGGAGCTGGTAATCCGCTTGAACTTTGGATTCTTGAACTGCTCGGTGATGTAGCCCAGCTGCTTGTACGTAAGCTGTGGGGCCTCCTCGTCGTCGTCGGCAGATTGCTCCTGCTCCTCCTCCTCGGCGTACTCCTCCTCCTCCTCCTGCGGCTTGGCGTAGGTGCGCTTCTTCAGCGTGATCACTTCGCTCTTGAGCTTGAACAGATTCTCCTCGGGCACGTTTGAGAAAGTCACTTTTTTCTCGCCATCCACTGGCTTCTGGGCGAATCCGTAGGCCAACTTGGCCTCGGGTACATTGATGGACTTGCCAGCCTGGGCGGCTAAACTCACGCTGATGGGATCCGCCGCGGGACTATTGTCCTGCTTCTTCTCCGCCGCATAGTGGATTCTGAAAGGAATAATCTTGTTAGTTCCTTGGAATCTAGGATTGCTGATGGGACTCAGTTGGGAATCAACTTACTTGCCGTATACAGACCCTGAGCTGGAGCTGGAGTCAGAGGCGTAGGTGCTATCGGCGACTTGCTGACACGAGCAGGTGGGCTTGCACGGCGTGGTCTGTGCGGAGAGGAGTGGAGTTCGGGTAAGTTGGGTTTCGGGTATCGGAAAAAGGTATCGAAATTGGTTTCTATCGCTCCGCATAGCTCCGAGGCTTAGAAAGCACGTACGCGACGATACAATGATGCTGTGGCTATATAGCTATATATATATATATGTTTTGATGGAGGTGGCGAGGCGGTGACGCAGAGTTGGATGCAGATAATGCCAATGCGGAAATTGTTACTGCAGCTGAGGGGAATGACGATGGATGATGATTGCGGTCGAAACTAATGTTACTGCTAATGATACCTAGCTTTTTGATAGCTTTTCAATGTGATCTGGATAGGTGGTAGTTATTTAATAGTTAGTAGCAATGCAGGTTGTAACCTAACTTATATCTATTGGGTGATATTGGGTAAAGGTGCAGAATATTATAGGAAATACAATATTTTGAAAATAAGGAACTATTGTATAAAAATAATGCGTAGTCTAGAGCATGTACATCTTTAGACATGAATACTGATCATATAACTTGTATGAGATAAGGTTCTAGCGATGCATTGCCTCCTTAAGGTATTAGGCAGACGGTATTTGGATATATAATATCAGGGTGAGGTGAAACATGGTAATCACTGGGATATAAATACATAAAAAATAACTGGGTTTTGGTTCGGCTGTGGGTTAGGCTGGCATGGATTAGTCACTGGATGCATTTGGTTAGAGGTGATAATGACGGCCCGTCGGGGATCTCTTGTAGCAGTCGATCCGCTCAAGCCTCTGCAGACGCTCGGCCAGACGCTGGGCCGCCAGCGTCTTGGCTTCGATGGCGCCCTCGAGCATCCGACGGCCCAATAGGTTGTTGAAGGCGTGCATGTACTGGAACAGCTCACGTACTTTGCCGCATGTCTTCGGAAGCTGGGCTGGCTCGATCAGCTGCTTGCTGCACCAGCAGTTGTCACCGATTGGCGACAGGTTCACATCGCTGGGCTCGTAGTATCGGGGCTTCGGTCGCACCACTGAGGCGCCCTGGCAGCTCTGGCAGAAGTCCGTTCCCTTCTCGGAGCACACGCAGGCGGCCATAAGCTGTTTGGTATAGAGAACACGCGGTTAGTAACTTGTTAAATTATTGATAACTAATTGATTTCACTTATTTTCTTAATCATTTTATTTTGCACATAACTTGGAGGGGTTTTTTGGGTCTTGGATAAGCATTATAAATGTAGGAAATTGTTGTGTGACTATCCTTATTGGTCTTCCTAGAGCCTTTTCACCATCGCTGCGACCTCAGCTGTGTCTCACTCACTCGCTCACTGAAACACCAGGCCGCAGGGTTCTTTCGCACTTTTTTTTCTTACTCACCACTTGGATGCAGTGCATGCCCATGACCAGGCAGAGAAGAAGCTTGCAGGCTTGCATTTCGGGTTACTTTATACTATGGAATATCAACTCGGCCGTATGCTGTGCTGCTCGTCGCTCGTTAAAAGTTTGAACTGACTGTGGGAGCGGTCCACACGGCTTATATAACCGTGACGTTACCCAGAAGATCGCCACAAGCTTGGCGTCTTCTCAGTGCATTAGGGTCTCTCTTCGAGGTAAATGAAATCTTCGCTCTGGTTTCGTAGTAAGTGAAATCTTCAAATCTTTGGTCGCAGCAGATTTTGGGGTCACTTTCGCCCCTCGTGACCTTGACTGATGGCGAGGGTCAGGTTCAGGTACAGCCTGTCCCAAGTGCGCTTTCCCCAGCTAATGATCATGATGGTCTTTACGTGCCTGGGATGGACAGAGATGTACTTGGTACACCGATAAGCTCAACCCAAATCAGAGCAAGCTGTCGGAATAGCTGAATTCCACAAATTTTGGAAGATACAAAAGGCGAAACTTAACAATGAAATGTTCAAGTTGCCATTAAGCCAAATAATTTCATCAACATCATAATTTTCACAGTCATTCCATACGATAGAGCTAATAGGTTACTTAGTTAGTTGGAGCCCCAGAAAAGCATATATTACGGCATATATTTATACTATGCATATATTTTTATATTTTTATACATAGTAGTTCCCATATAGAAATCATCGAACGAAACCGCGCAATTGCAAAGAATTCGACTTGAAGAACTTGGAATGTACATACATAGGAAACCGCGATTAGCTGTATAGATCGTTCCCGATTCCTAAATAGGTCAGCGTCATCTCAAACGAATCTGGAAGTGACCCGGGAGTCGGGAGCACTTCAATGAAACGAAATTGGGTCATTAACCTAATTCGGGTTTGTTTTTAGCGGATTTTTAATCACAACAACATAGCTCTGGGGAAAACACGGCCAGTCGATGAACTTTTCTTCTGATCAATAATGATAGCGGTTTTTTGTAGCGCTGAATTTAAGATAAATCGATTTTTTCTAAAAAATTCTAATAATAAATCGATTAAAATCAATAAACTAAAAAAATGCAGTCAAAAAAATCAATTAACTGAAAAAAAAAACATGTGCCACGACTTTATATTAATTTTACAAAATTTAAAACCTATAGCTCTTGGTTAGCACAATACTTGGTGCTTAGATCGATTTTGTGCAATTGTTCGCTTTCAAGAAAATTTCAAAAACAAGAAAGGAAGCTATCTTCGTCATGCCGAAGTTTGTATACCCTTGCAGATAACATTTCAATACATTTTACCCATACTTATGTTTACACAAGGTATAATAAAAGGCATTCGAACGCGACCGTACAAAAGTCACTTTTTCGAAGAAATGCCATGCCAAAGTTAGCTTCCTTTCTTGTTAATGTTGTTTTTTTTACTTTATGGATAAGTTAGAAAAACTTGTAAACTTTTTATTTCTACTCTGGGATTCTTCAAGTGATGTTAGAAAGCAAAATTCTAAGCATAATGTCTCTGTTTTATCAAAACTGAACATCAAAATAATTAAAAATCGCCTTTGCTCGAATTCGCATTCGACCTTTATCGAAATTTCTTTTAGAATATGCTGAATTCGTTCACATTTGAACAATCGGTGAATTTTTTAAGGGGGTCTTCTCATTGGGCAACTTTTTTTTTTCGATTTTTTTTTTTTTGCATTTATTTATAGCTTGGGATGGTGTGTATATGTCCCCAAAAGGATTTTTAGAAATTCGAAATACTTTAGAAGATACAGCCTTTTTTGTGAAGCAAGATCTATGCAAAATGAGCTTTTTTCAAACTTCAAACGCGTTTATCTCGAAACCACGTTTTTCGAACTGGCGGCCATGATATCTCCAGTTCAACTAAACCGATTTTCATGAAACAAAGTGAAATCGACGCAGAATTGTCACCATTTTCGGGTGACGGAACAGATTAAAAAAAAAAATTTTGTTTTCTTTTTTTTGTTTACACTAAACTACAAAAAAAAAGCCCGAAATCGAAATTTTTTTTTTTGACTGGCCGCCATTTTGTTTAAAAAAATTTAAAAAAAAATCTGTTCCGTCACCCGAAAATGACATCTATTCTGATTATAACCCCGTTTTTATTTTTCATTTCGGACGCTCTGGAGACCCTGAATCGTGGCCGCCAGGACGACACCTTTTTTTTCGACCACCAAGTTTGAAATCTCATTACTCTTTGAACAACCCTCGTATCGAGGCAAGAACAACTTTTTTAGTTACTTTGAACATTTTTGAATACAATAAATAAAAAAAGTTTTCAATTATTCTTTGTGTTTTCAAATAAGAATTTTTTTAAAAAGGGTCCAAAAAACGGCTTTTGAATGAGAATACCCCCTTAATGAAACTACATATATTGATCAAAATCAATTCAGAGAACTTTGCATTTTTTGGCCCCGGATGCTGTTTCTGTTTCACTATAGATTTTTATTTTAATGTTTTTTTTACATTTTACCAATCAATGTTTGTATTTCAATAGCAACTTTCTGGTGTTCTCAACCTTTTTATTGCATCGAAAAAATGTATCTCTAGTCTTTGGGCTAATGATCGGAGTAATCGGAAGTACGTTTCCCGACAATCCCACATAACACATCAAAATAATCACGTTTTTGCGGTATCTCGGTGCATGTATGCCACTGATGTAACTCCGATTGTTTTGTTTACTAGTGTAATCTTAACAATTCACCGAATTCACATGTGTTTCTATAATCGGCAAATGTGGTTTTTAACAATTACTATATAGGCTGCCTGTTATGTAATGGGAAATCCATTCGAATTTAGTTTTTCTATAGAAGTTCAATAACTGACGGAGATAAGGAGGGTGTCAGTGTATTTTTTTTAAATCTGAATAAACACTTTTTGTAGACTATAGTTTCAGTCTGAGTATAAATTCTTCTTGTTAAATATTTCCAAAGTATTTCTTGGACTCTTAAACGCCTAAATGATTTTATTTATTATTTTATATTATTGTTGTCAACCAGGGTGCTTACAAACATATACAACGACCTTGACTAACCGCCATATCAGAGGAACTTTCTGTAGGCAAAAGATCACAATCGATCAGCATTTGGACTCATGTGAAGCAGTGCCGTAATTGAGAGAGACTTTTGGAGGGTCAAGACCTCATTTCTTAAAATTGTTTGGTAAAAACAGTCGCTTACTGGCTTACAATTTGGAAACAAATGCAGAACACAGTAAAATTGACTAAATAAAATAAATTATAAATGATTTTAAATAGGTTTAGTTACTCTAAATTGTTTAACTAATACGATTAGTACTTTTTTCTAAAACTCAAAAATTGTATATATAAGATAGGTAAACGTTATTATAACCTGATTTAAATCCCTCCAGCGATCTGGTTTTCGTTGCCCAAATCCCAAATCCCCAATTCCAAATGGGTAATGGCCCGGCAACAGGCCCAGACAGATGATGATCCCGACCTTATCAGGGTCTGAGTTGTATAAAAGGCCCGTTCTGAGCTCCCCAGAAACTCAGAACGACGAACTTCGCTCAACCTATATACGGAAAAAAACGCGAGTATATACAAATATATATATACTTGGCCGGTCGCGAGAAAGCTTATCAGTCGCAAGCCTAGTCCAGCTGGCAAAGCCCGCAAAAGTCTCCGCACAGTACAGTCCAACAGCTCCAAGTGATCGCAAGTAAAACCCAAATAAAGTCCAAACCAAGGCTTAACCAATCTCAGAATGGCAGCAAAAAGAATGGATTTAAGTAAACGCACTTTTTTGGTGCTGAGCGGCAGCTCGAATCCTTTGGGTCAGTCCCTGGCCCTCGAGTTCTGCAAGCGCCTGGCTACCGACTCCATGGCCCTGATCCTGGACGAAGACGAGCAGCAGTTGAGCCGTCTGGAGGAGTACCTGCAGCGTGAACTGAAGCCGGAAACGGTGAAAGTGAGGATGGGAAAACTGGATGCCAGCCACTCGAATGGCGCGGATATCATGGAGCAGGCTTTGGAGGCGGCCAACGACCAGTTCGAGCGGACCATTATAATCCATAACGAGGGCGAGGCGGCCACCAAGGTGCTCCAGGAGCCTCAAACCACCCAAGACTGGAAGAGCTACGTCCAGCAGCAGCTGTATGCTCCCGTGGCCCTCAGCCAACGATGGCTGCAGTCGAAGACCTTGGAGAAAGTCGAGAAGCTGGCCGTTAATGTGACCTCGTCGCTGATGATTCGTCCGCTGATCCATGTGGGACTGCTCTGCTCCTGCAAGCGGGCCAGGGACATGTACTTCCGGGCCATGGCTGCGGAGGAGTTGCGGTCCGGAGTCCATGTGCTCAGCTTCACACCCGGACTGCTCTCCACCCACCAGACGCAGTGCGATGTCAACGGCAACGAGATCAATCCCGAGGAGCTGGTCGCCTCCAAGCGACTGCTCCAGTTGCCCAGGGTCCAGCCACTGCAGGCCACCCTCAAGCTGATTAACATACTGGAGGAGATCTCCTTCGTGTCCGGCCACGAAGTCGACTACTACGACACCTTTGTTTTATGAGTAGCATCGTGGCGGTGGGCTGCGTCCCTGCCGAACTTTATTCTGAACCTGGCCAACGATTTGGATGCTTTTTTTGATATGATTGCTCGTGAAACCCTACAAAATAAACTCTGGCTGCTGACCCTGGTCCTGATTCTAAAAGTGCTTCTCCCCAAAAAGGATTCACACGAAAAGGAAAACGAAATCAAAATTGCTATTTTTATTTATTTTTCAAGGGGGCGAAACTGGGAGTCTACCATACAACTTGGTTTATCTCTGACTGGATGGGTTTTATATCTCTTACATTTTTGAGGTAGTCATTTTTGGTTAGTACACAAAAGTGCAATCACTGACGTTGTCCTTGCTAAAGTCAATGTGCTTTGCTTGAAGATGTTAAAAAGTCACTGTTTTAAAGGCAAAATCCTGGAATTTTTTAACAGAAATTATTTGAAATTATCTTATTTCTTTAAAAGTGAACGTTTTTTCAATAACTTATTCGAAATTTGCTAAGCAAAATGAAAATAGATTTGATGGTAAAATAAGAAGGAAATAAGGAAACATAATTAACAAATTTTGATGTTTGGCAGACGGAAAGTTTAAAGAAAACCATTGATTTCCTAGGAAATTTTTATTTTGTATTATTTGGAGAATGTCAATACATTTCATGGCATATATCATGGAATATCATGAAATATACATTCAAAAACGCAGCGCATGACAATCGTTTATTAACCTTTGATTTCCTTCATGACGTTATGAATCAGCTTATGTGCTGGCGCCTACATATACATATATAATTGATTATATAGTCCCGGTGAAATTAATTCAAAAACAGAAACAGCTTCCAGACAGCAATGGCGATAAGGGAACTTCTAGATTGCAAGTTCTACGGAAGACACGTGTCTATTTACAGTTGCCTGGGGGTGTTTGTATATATGTTCATATATATTATATATTTTATAGAAATACACTTAATTCTATTAGGTACACTGTTGCTGGGCCGGCAACGCAAAGTAAATGGTATTTGCTTTTAAAATGTTTTGTATGTATTTGACAAAAATTCAATAGTGTTTATAAATTTTTGGCTGTTCCTCGAAGATTGTTGTGACCGAGGAACTTCTCTCCCTGCTTTACTCGATCTTTGAGATGGTAATGCCGCACAGTAGGGCCTCTCGAACAATTAGCGTTGCAAAAATCTAAAAAGTTCGACAGAACATTTTCCAAGGATTGCGAATCTGTAATAAAACTAATTTTAATTTTTTTTTTTTTAGAAGATATGAGCATTCAAAGTTAAACTTTGTTTCGTTTTTCCATCAAACAAAAAATGGGTAAATTGGTCGACTTCCAGATAATATTACACAAAAACCATAAAACCAATGGTCAGGGTTTTTGCTTTAAGTGATAGATACATTCATAAACTGTCAGATACCCTAAAAAAAGCTCCAGTTTGGTTTGGGGTTATACAGGTAAATCGCTACCTGCCAGGTGACAATTTTTTTCACCTTTTTCTGGCTTAAGTAGTCTATAAAAACTGAAGCCGATGAAAGTCACCGACTACACTATGCCTTTAAGTTTTGTAAAACTTTCCTAAATCAGAATCATTAACCATCGCACTATGGTTTTTTTCGCGTTTTTTTTGGCATAAACTCTAATTTTAAACCTATTGATCTGAAATTTGGTATGTATACATTTTTTAAGCTTCTATGATGGCCTACCAAATTTCAAATGATTTGGGGCACTATTTCATATAGCTGCCATATAACCGATCTGGCCGATTTGCACCAACTTTTTTGTTTTTCAAGCTATTGCTTTGAAATTTGGTTTGTATACATTTTTTAAGCTCCCAAGATGACCTACCAAGTTTCAAATGATTTGGTTATATTTAAAAAAAAAAAAATTTTTTGGGCGAATGGGCCAGATCTGTTATATGGCAGCTATATGAAATAGTGCCCCAAATCATTTGAAACTTGGTAGGTCTTCTTGAAAGCTTAAAAAAGGTATTCAAACGAAATTTCAATACAATAGACCCAAAATTGGAGTTTATAGAAAAAAAAAACGGAAAAAAACCATACTGATATGGTACTAGAAAATGTTGATTTTTTCGAAAACGTGTGGATTCGGACAAAAACGGTTAGTTTCTCATTAATCTGCACACTTTGGTTAATAGTTTCTCATTTACAACTTTTTGCAACTCTTTGCCATGCAAAAGTACTGATCCACGAAACACAGCTACACTTGTTAAGCTCGCTCTAAAAATACACGTAAACAAAAGACGGTACAATTGGACAAAAACACATAACAACGACAGAAACATTGGTAAACTTTAGTTTTATATACCTGGACAATCGTTTTCCATATTTATTCATTTAACTTCTTCGTAAACTTTTGCCACAACAAACTATCAAAGTCGCACAATTTTTCGCGCCAATTTCATACAAAACAGCTGCTACATAATCAGCTGACTTTAACAGCTGGCCAGCAGAACAGTGTTGTTCCATATGTTAAAGTTACATATTTTTTTATTTGTCTATGGTATTTAAAAATTAAAAATAAAAAAAATTTTAAGATACATAAAAATAAAAAAATTGACTTTATGCCAAAAAAACGCGAAAAAAACCATAGTGCATCGGTAGCGTCAAGTTGCGTTTGCGGAAATGCGAAGTAAAGAACTAAAACAACTCGGGGTAAAATATACCAGAATCTAGCAAAAAGTATTGCAACTGGAAATGAGGACCTATTCAACATGTTGGCTGCATTATCTGACCCGTTTAATACATCTCCACGGCATATAAATTCACGAAGATATAAAATCAAATGATTATAGTCCTGCAATGTCTAGTTTATTAGAAATTCCCCAAAATTAAGACTTATTTTTAGTAATAAGTAGCCAAAATGACAAAAGAAAAGAACATTAAAAATTAAAATATATCACAATTTTTTTTACAGTACAAAATATATTTATTTGTGGTTTACATCGGTTCATATCGGTTATACTTGTAATATTTTGGAAAAGTTTTCAATATTCGTTCGGTATCTGGTACAAACCGCCACGTTTTGAAGAAATCTATAAAACGTAAATTTTAGCTTTTAAATTAAAAATTGATTAATGTGCACTCCTCACCATCAATATTTTAAAACGTGAAAGGGTTTTATTCATTAAATGTTTTTCGTTAAAAAAGTTAGTTATCTTTGGTATCTGTTATGCAAATTAAATGTTTTAAATTGAGTAAAAAATTAAATTAAATGTGTTGTAGTTCTCATAATTTTTTCATAAAAATGGAACCATTTAAGGTACCAAAAAAATTAATCGCCACGTTTCATAAACACTCTACAAAATATACATTTTGGTTTTTTAGTTGAAAATTAATTAATAATTAATATGCACTCACCTATTGTTTTTACCACCTGTCTTTCCACCAGAAGTTACTCCGCTTTGTGAAACCTACAAAGCCATAAATATAAGCAACAAGAATTGAGGATAACTTCGCCGAGAAGGCAAAGTATTTATACCCTGGACTGGGAACGCAATGGGTGAGGGTCCTCCTGGTTCACCTCATCAAAGCTTGCCTTGATAGCTCCACGCTTCGATGACTTCTCCCGCAGCAACTGAGCATATGACGGAATAACCATTGAGGACGGATGGATGTCTATAAGAGCAGGGTCAGTCACCCTTTTTCTTTAAAGAGGATGACCAAATAAAGTATCTCTTAATGTAATTTGAAACTTTTAACTTACCGCGCTTAGCCCAGGACATATTTTTGAAAATTTTGTGCAAATACTGCTAAATAAAAAGACAAAAATTTTTCACAAAAAAATGGGTAAAACAAATACTACTAAAAATTTGGAGCGATTCAAAATATTTTCAGTTTCACGTTCACTCGACCGAGATCTAAAGCACACTGAATTTTGTTCACAGCCGTGTCTGAAATGTTATTTTTCATTTGACATTTGAAGTCCATGGACTATGTGATTTTTTTTTTTTTTTTTTTTTTAAACAAAGGTTGTATCTCGTATGTATGTACTTATGCATTTGTGATCTATGATCAAGCTATGCTGGAGCACATTTTGAATTGCCACGTTAAAACATTCATATCCAAATCGTCAAATTCAAAAATGCAAATTGGGACCTCTTTAGAGAACTTATCACCAAACAAACTCAGACAACCCAGTAACAACACAAACAAAGAAGCAGCTATTATTAAAAAGTCGCTGATCCAAAGTGCCCACCCATCCGTACCACAAAATACAACCTTCTCTATCCCTCGTACTGTTCCCTGGTGGAACCAAAACCTGAATGGAGGACCCTTAAAAACAATATCAATACAGAAAACATGATTAAATATAAAAAGGTAATGCAACATTCAAAAGGTCAATTGGGAATGCTAAAAAAGGCTTTAAACTTCACTTCCGAAATCCAGCCAATCTCCGATCCTGCAAAAATGTGGCCAAACATCAAACGGCTCTGCGGAATCTAATAAATAATCGAAAGAACAACTCCAGTTAATCTCACATCTCTTTTCCATCAAATCGGAGAATGGTGCTCTTACTCAGGTTCTTCACTCTCCCTTGATAAATGTCAACTATTCCACATATGCCGGAAAATAAGTTGCAGGGCTAACATCATAACAGGCTCCATCAACGTCCCAAACGCTGATCAAAGAAAAATCCTAGGACTCACATACAGTTTTCCCGACCCCTTAAAATCATAAAACACCCCTCCTCAAGGAAATACAACTGCAACACAACCTCCCTCATCCAATTATAAATATGATATTCAATTTTGGGAAGTATGTAGTATCACACTTTCATTGATCATCGTCAAATTACAACGTCAAATTAGATTACACCGGTAGGTAGATCGTAAAACAAATAGAATTTAATTACTAAATAACTGTATATCCCCCTGACTATGGAAGCTCGGAAACATTGAATTCGAGGTAAGAATTTAAAGTTTTCGAGCTTCCATAATCAGGGGAATATTCATAGTTATTTAGTAATTAAAATTCTATTTACGGTATTCAGAGCTTTCGATGAGGGGAACCGAGACAGCAATTGACATAGATTCTAGAATTTTGAACTTGCCAACAATGTTGTGCTGTTGATCTTTCATAATCATTGAAAAGCAATAATTTGTTTATATTTTTTCCTCGCTGTTTAATCTTAAACATTCTCTGTTATTAGTTGAAAGGGGCTTTTAGGATTCTTCTTGTGGTGTGTGGTTGTTATTGGGTTTGAAAACCGATTAAGTGAACTTTAGATAATTTTATAATATGTTAAGTAATTCCTCAACAAAAACATAAGCAAAATTTATTTAAATGAGTTCTTATTTCGTATTATTATTTATTCTTGGACATTCGAGGTACATATTATTTGCATTATTTATATACCTTTGTATGGTATTATACTATAAGTCATAAGTTTTGCAATGCAGTGAAGAAATCATTTACATATATCATATGTACTATGTACTTTATCAGCAACCGAGACTAACTATCTTAGTTTTTATGCAAACTAGTCTCTCAATTTTGTAGCTGAATGAAATTTTGCAGATGGTCTTTTTTCTGTTTTTATTAGTATATTAGTCGGCACGCTATAGATCATCAATCAGCCATAGGAACAATCAGGAATTTAAAACAAATTATTTTTATTTTGCCCATTTTTAAGATAGTTTCGTTTACTTTGAGGTATGATAGTTTTTATTGGTTTAGGAACTTGGATTTTAAATATACAGTGTAAATATAAATGAAGTAAAAACGTATACTAGTTAAGTTTTTTTTTTATTTTTAAACATGTACCCTAAATACTGGGATATATGTAGTTATTTTATACCATTTTAAAATAACGTTTTCATCGAAATTAACTTATCTAGCTGGTCAGGAGAAATCAAACAATTGAATTTATACAAAATTCTGGAAATATCAGTAAAAAATACGGTATTTTAAAATATAAATAGCGTTTGGATCTCTTTTAATATGAGTTTTTCCTGTGGCCGAACTGCATTGAGTTTAATGATCCACTTCCAAACTGCTAGGGTATACAAACTTTGGTGTACCAAAGTCAGCTTATTTTCTTATTAAATATTAAATATCATATATGTTTGTATGTATATATTACTGCTACAAAGTTGCCGAGCTTTACTGAGCAGATTGCGCGAACCTCGAGTCGAGCTCAACTCTTCTTCGCTTGGCAGTCGCTGGCCGGTCCGACCTTGACATTGACTTTATCGCCCGCTGATTTCATGCATTCCATTATTTAGCTAAAGGTATTACGATAAAGACAGTAATTTCTGCGATATTCTGCCGGCATTTCAGCCGCGGACATTAACGATGCGATTAATAAAACATAGACAATTAATTAACTGAAACCATTAAGCAAGAGCCGGCGATAACCTTTCCCCATTGGGGCGGAGCTTTAAGCGCGAGAAAGCAGGGCGCTTGTGGAGAGAGGAGATTTAAGGGGGGACTAAAGACGGCGCGAGAGAGTCTGTGATGGAGAGAGAGAGAGAGAGAGAGAGAGGAAATGGCACGGGCGTAGTCATAGGGATACAAATTCCTGGATGTATCGTATGGCCAATTCTGAACCAAAACCGAACCTTATATGATTTTTTTTTGTATTTACAAATACCCCTAGATAACGTATATTTTTGGGACATGACTGATCACGTATTTATATATGTATTCTTCCCACATTCAAACCCCTACGAATTTGTTTCCGAATACGCTCCTGGCTAAGTAAAGTGAGCTTTGGCCAGCTGAGAAAAAGCTGTCGGCATCAGGTAAAAGCGAGTTAAAAAACCCCAGTAAAGAAGGCAGCCAACTGTTGCCGCTGGAGCGTGTGTGTGGGAAATAGAAAGTAATTCAGTAAAATAGCTGGTCAAATTATGAATCTGAAGCAACGCACTTTCCTCCTGGTGACCGGAGCCTCTCGTGGCATTGGCCGGGAGTTTGCCCACCAACTATCGGGACAAATCAAGGCCAAGGGGTCCGTGGTCGCTCTTTTGGGACGAAACCAGGCCTTGCTGGAAGAGGCGAAGACGCAGATCTTGAACTCGGAACCCAATCTCGCTGTGCACACATACTCGTTGGAGTTGAGTACAGCCAGAACAGAGGATTTCACCAAGATCCTGGAGACCGCCCGTGGCGGAAATGGGGATTTTGAGCGCGCCATTGTGATCCATAATGCCGGAACAGTGGGGGACACCTCTAAGCGGGCCAAGGAGATCGGGGACACACTCTTCCTGCAGCAGTATTACCACATCAATGTCTTCTCCGCCATTGCCCTCAACTGCGAGTTCATGCGGCTGTTCCAGGGGATCCCCAAATTGGTGGTTAACCTCAGCACTCTGGCAGCCATTGCGCCCATATCCTCAATGGCCCACTATTGCACCGTGAAGGCCGCCCGCGAGATGTACTTCCGCGTGCTGGCCACGGAGGAAGCAGCACCGGAAACCTTGGTGCTCAACTATGCCCCAGGTGTCATCGACACCCAGATGACCGTCCAGGTTCAGCGCGAGGCCCACGATCCTGCCATAGTGGCCATGTTCCGAGAGCAACGGGAGGGCAAAACCATGCTGACACCAGCTCAAACTACGGCACGTTTCATCCAGGTTCTGGAAGCCCAGAAGTTCAAGTCCGGGGATCACGTCGACTACAGGGACGAAACATATTAGACCCTAAAAATGATATTTTGGTAATGGAAGTTTTGTTTAATTATACATATAATAAATGCAATGCAGCTAAATCTAATTTAAGAAATTAAATTAAAAAAAAAACTTTGAATTAAACTTGTACATATATTTAAGGAGTTTCGGGCCCTTTACTGATAAAAATTATAAAAATCTTCAATTGTACAACACATAAAACACATTTAACTTTTTGGAAATAAGAAACCATTACTGGCGGCTTTAACACGTAAATTAGGGAAAACTGTGAATGAAGAGTACAACGCACATACTATGAATATGCACACATGTTTCTAGCCGATAACAGATCTTCTAAGCCAGCGATAATACTCTTCTTATCAGTTTCTATTGAAACCAAGAGTGTGCAGAGTTTCAAAATAGGTTTTACGACCAAATCTCAAAAATCCATTAATTTAGCCAAGGTATCACAAAAATAAACAGGCACTGAACATTTCCTTTGCCTTCCTTTCATATGCAAAAGCAAAATAATGCAAATAAAAAATTTTTAATAAAAAATTTTTAATTATGCTTCAGGAAATACTGAATTTTACTTTTGTGAAATTTATTTAGGGTTTTTGTCGCATAGAATCCAAGGATTCGAATTTGCTAGAAGAAATCTGCGGCACTGCGTCGCTTGGTGGGTATCTTGAGCAGATCGTCTGTGAGGGTGGAGCCCGTATCGATGGGCGTGCTCCTGGCTGGAGTGCGAATCTTTTCAGAGACCTGCTTGGGCGGACCCAGGGGAGTTGTGCCCTTTACAACGCCAGGTGTAACCTTTCGCCTCCGGACACTTAGGGGCGATGGTGTGTGTGATATGACGGGCGTTCCGCGAATACCCAATTTCCCGGTGGCCAAGCGCTGGGCTGCCGGCGACATGCTCGCCAGGCGCTCCATATTGGAGCGTATGAGCGGAGAGCCCATATTCCGACGCGCGGTGTCCAGAGCCACTTGCTTCTGGTTGCGCATCTTTTCGCTGACTTTTTCGGCCAAGGCAATGGCAATGTTCTCGCGCCGGGAGTTCTCATTGATCCGAAAGGAAGGTCCCTGGGTGGGGCGTAGCGGCGTGTCGCCGCCATCCAAGCGGAAGGGAGTACCATCGATCTCGCCCCAGGTCATGATGGGTGAGAAAGCCTCGCCGGGTCGCGGCGATGGCGAGCGCAGGAGATCAAACCCTCGTATCCGCGGCGTGGCTATGCTCTCATTAGTTCCAGCAGCTGGTGCCTCATCCACCTTCTCCCTGTGCTGAGCCTCGTGCGGAAGCCTTGTGGCCCCGTGATGAATGCTTTGCTTCCGCTCCGCCGCCTGGACACGCTCCTCTTCGGTGAACTCTACACCTTCGGGCACATACATGATGGAGTTCATGTTGGTGTACTTCCAGGTCTCGATTTTCCTGAGGGGATCGGGCTCCTCAAACTGTTTCTCTATGCTGGGCAACATCAGGGCCCGTTGCAGCTGCTCCGCGGACAGTTTTTCGTGGCTGTACAGCACTGCGTACTTCTGGCGCAGCTTTGCCTCCGCGGTTTCGATTATCTCCTGGAAACTGTGGTTATCCTCGCTCGTGTAGTTCTGCAGGAAGGCGTCGAGTGAGAGCTTCGAGGTGCTGTCCGCCCCGCCTTCGGCGTCGCTTTTTTCGGAACCGGCCGTGGAGCCAGGAGTGTCTGCTCGTCGCGAGGGTGGCAATGGTGTGGTGTTGCCGTTGGCCTGGCTCACTGGCGTCTCAAACGTAGCTGGAGACATGGCTGAAGGAAAGTATGCTTGTTAGTTAAATAGAATTATCCACAATGATGTCGCCACTAAGTACTCACCATTATTGCGCTGATTCTGGCGTCTGCTGCTCCTCCCCGTTCCTGGAATCCTGCCAAGACTGTAGCGCTCCCGGATCTCAGCCATCTGAACGAAATCTCTGCGTGACTCCGCGTCCAGGTATTCGTTTTGCGCACGAAGTTTCTCTAGATCCGGGAAGAAATCGCGCTGGATGATCTTCGACATTTCCTCGATGTACTTCTCCTCTGTGAGAATCTGGGGCTTGTTCTTCGCTCGCACCGTACCCGTGGGCTTCTTGAACTCCGCCAGCGCTGTGTTTTGGACGCGAGCTATCTCCACCGCCAGGCTGCCGGGCGTCGCCGGTGTTCCGGGTGTCGCAGGCGTACGCGGCGTCATATTCATGGCTCAGTTTTTTGCCAGGAGATAGTGGTAGAAGTAAAGAAACATGAATTAAATGTTTTTAGATATTATTTTGTTTCCAGGAGATAGTGATGCCGAAAACATCGATGCATCGAACATCGATATTTTTTTAGCGATGTTTTTCGATGTATTCTGACATAAACGGACATCGTCATCAGCGTTGTCAATTTAGCTTATTGCCCGCTAGATCTGGCGGTTTTCTAAAGCATAATGCGAGATAAATTGTAAACTAGCGGCTAACGTGAATAATAGCTTTTTCCACAAGGAAAAATTAACGTTATTTTGGCTTTTGAAAAATAATTGGCAGCTCCGTGCTTTCCTAAATACTTTATAGAATTTTTCCATTTAAAGGTCAGGATTCTTACTCTTTTTCAATACAGAAACTTCCATCTAATAAAATAGTCAAATCCAACAGATACCACAAGTTTTCGAAGTATCCAAATACGTGGATGCTGTAAAAACAAAAGATTTTTAGCAATAGCTTTATTTGCGTTAGAGCAGTTCCAGAAGAGGATATACATAATTGACCCTTTTGCCAAGTTTTCAAATATAACACTTGCAGAAAAAAATAGAAAAAAATCTCAAAACCAAGAATAGGAATATACTTTTCAGAAAATTTCTTATACGTCAGGTTATATTACGGTTTTTCGTACCATCTTTACGGATCCCCGAGATACTGTTTTTTGAATTTATATCGTTATTTTTCTATATTGTCAAGTTCGAAACATTCAGAAATATTGTTTAACTACTCTAGTGAAGAGTTGGCAACACTGTTCAACATGGAGTTTTCCAGTCGAGCTAGCATTACCTGGAGATCAACTTTGTTTTTATAAAATTGCGATGATTTGAGTAAGCTATTATGCGTTGCCAATTTACCTATTTCCCCAGCTAGGTCTATCGTTTTTCAATTGCCAAATTGTGTTTTCGGAGAGTATCTGGCGAAATTTTACGCTTAAATTAATTACGAAAATTATAATGTATATATTTCGGTTATAGCTTGTTTACTTTAATTTATTTCGGCTCAGAATCTAGCTTTTGCGGGTGTTCATAACTCGGCATCACTGAAGCGATGAAGCAATATATCGATGTTTTGGTATTAATACGGAGTTTTTCAAAATGCGGAGCAGTATGACCGTTAATCCGAATTTCCAGCGATCTGGCAAGGATTACATGTATCTGTGGAACGTATTCGCCTGGCGCGTAAATTATTTTAAAAGTTTAAGCCTAGTACTCTGACGAGAAAAATCCGCTGTCTAAATTTTTCTCATCAGAGTATTAGGCTTTAAACTGCTGAAAAATAAACATGAACTATAAATACACTCTTTTGAATTTCACAACCTAAAGCCATACTTAATAATTTTTTCACCATTTGAAAGCTAAATTCACCTTGAGTAAAGGAAGCTACATTTATTTCCGTAAAAGATTTGGGATTCTTATTAAAACTTAACTTACGTAACGGAGAAAGTAATTTATATTGGAGAAACATCTTCTGAAAATTCAGATCGCTTTGCAAATCAGAAAGCGTATATGTACATCGTAATCGCTAATTGTACTTACATAAAACTAAATATAATTACACAAGTTATAATGTATAAAATATAGTTAATTTTCTTGTTTCAATCTTTCTCCAACTTTTTAAATTTTCTTGTTCTATTAAAGATTATTTTAAATATTTTTAAAATCTAAATCATTCTAAATTCATTAAATAAGGTCTCGAAGGTCTGAGTCACTAATAATAATATTATATTTTGAAATCTTATCTTATAAAAATTATTGAACTATTTATTAATAGGTTAATTTCGCAACGTGTAGAAATCATTATAATAATAATCAAAGGGATTTTTTATATATAAATTATAAAAATACAACTTATATACTACATATTTAAGTGCAGTCATAGTCATACTCATACGTTATAGGCTCAATCTCGAGATATAAAACAATTCGTCATTTTTTATTGATTCACCTACTTAAAAGAACCGAAAATAGTTCATACAAGTAACTCAAATGGCTAAACAAAAAAAAAACACTAAATATACATACGTATTCTATACATAAAATATAGTTACGACTTACCACTGAATCACTGGTCGTAGGTTTCAGCACGCTGTATCTTATCAGCTGCATTACCTGTCGCGGACCCTATCAGCAAGCTCGCAGCAAGCTCCCAATCCGAATCTCGCCCCACCTGGCTGGAGCTGGAGCACACAGTCCGCTGGATTTTCAGTCAGTCAAGAGCCAGCCCTCATCGTAAGCCGATCGCCGTAAATTTCACAAATTAACCATTTAGCTAGCCTCCGAGAGTGAAATAGATTTTCAGACATGAAGTACTACCTGTTGGTGATTGCGGCCGTGTCATTTCTGACCTACATCAGTTGCGGTAAATCTTTGGCCTTTGGCCTTTTTCTATACCAAGTGTTTTTTTTTATACATTATTTCTGACGGTGTAGTGCATTATGTAAGAAGGTGCGGTGGTCTCATGGACACTAAAATAAATTCGAAAAGCGGCATATCTTATCGATAGCCTATACATACATACATACATATATGTATATAGCGGCCTTCAATTGTTTCGACTTGGACTAAACTTAATTTTTGTTCAGTGTATTTGTACCGGAAAAAATGAAAAATTTTTAAATAATATAAAATTATCAAAGGATCAAGATCCAGATGGAAAAAGTTTGCTCTTCCCTTACAAAAAATTCAATACCGATTGACCTCGAATCAGCATTCTTTTTTTTATGTGTATATCTATGGTGAATGTGTGTGTATACAGTCGCTTATATATATTTTTTTATTTTATTTAAACAGCAGGTTTGGATATGTATATTAATTAGCTGTTTCTTAGATTTTTGTTTATTCACCAGAAAACCTCAACAATTTACAATGGAACTTGAATATTATCTGGGAATAGCCTAAAAGAATATATAGAATAAAGTCAGCCATATTATAAATAAAGTTCCCGCGTTAATATTTTTTAAATGCATTTAAGCGGACCGATTTCAAGTTTTAATGTTACCAAGATGGCTTTAGTTTATGCCTAATTTGAACATTTAAGTACTGTGCCAACATACATACTTCACCCTGCTTTCCTAATTCTTGAACTGTAAATTTTCTTAACTTATCTTGTGTGTGCGGTATACACACTATGTATACCGTTAACTCACTTTGGGCCCATGTACATTGTCGATAAGAATCAATTGCGGTAATATGAGAAAAAGTTAAAATAGATAACCAGAGGGGCGCAGTACAGTGCGTGACATTAACAGCTGGTGGAACAGTTGAGAACCTTTTATAAATCAAACTGATATAGAAAGCCTTGTTCTAACTTTCAGTAATCAAAATGCAAGGTTTTAACTTACTTTCGGCTAAAAATCCAGTGAAATACCTAAGCTTAATTGTGCTAAGAACTCCAAGAAGAACACTTTGTTCACATTTTAGCTTTCTTCTAAATGCCATTGACAATTTCCAAGTCAACCCAGAGCTAGTCAATCTTAAGAACCCTCTATAGGGGTTAAATACGCACGGAAGGCACCATGAGAATGTGGACCTTGAACACCGGATGAGAGAGTAGTTGTTACCATTTCTGTTTTTGTGGAAAAGCTGAGTACAACCATTACTGTAATCTAATCAGGCTCGCCCCGGTCCGTTCCCCTCGCTTCATTCGCAGATGGCTGCATTCAGTGCAACTCGAAGACCAACGAACGCTGCGCCACCGATCCGCTGAGCCTGCTCAATCGCAACTGCTCCGACGGATCCTCCAACTGCTACTCCCGCGTCGTGGGTAAGTGACAGCCAAATATTAATCTATTTAACTTTAAGTGCATTTAGAGCTATAAGTTAAACTTAAACTTAACTTCAGATGGCTACACGATCCGCGGATGTGCCGCCGATCTGGACAATGCCACCCGATCGACGTGCAACAATGAGCTGGTGTGTCAGACGTGCACTTTTAGCGAGGGCTGCAACCGGAACCTCTTCCCGCTGAGCCGCGCCCAGTGCCTGCAATGCTCGGGCAATTCGACCTGGTCGGTGTGCGCCAACGAGACGTACAAACTGGCCTCGATCTGCCCGATTTACAAGTTCGGCGATCAGTGCTACATCCGCAACAGCAATCGCACCGTGGACGGATCCTTCCAGCGCGGCTGCCTCACCTCGGCGCGAGCCAACAAGCAGTGCGTCAAGGACGGACACTGCTTCACCTGCGAGGGACGCGGCTGCAACTTCCTCGCCGCCAATGACACCCTCATTCCGCTGGCCCGCGACTCTGCCGTCCAGGTGGCACTCTCTGTCTCCCTGCTGATCGTCGGCCTCCTTGTCGCCGGACGAGTCTAAGGACCGTCTCCTGGGAACGACCACAGCTTCCTCCTGCTCTCTACTCCTCCTCCTTTGTCGGCGGCCAGAGCATTGAACGTCACATTTTCCCCAGCAGCATTATACATTTACGTAACCCAGTTTTATTACTTGCTTTTGAACAAAACGAATAAAGATGAGGAAGAGAATGAGTGAAAAATTAATTAATTGGGGAATATTTTTTGAAAAACGTAAAATATAGACATTAGAATGTATTTTGTTCTTATTTTTTCAAGCTTTCCCCTTGCTGGCTTTAAAATTCAAACATTATGAAGGGAGAGTGGTGATTACATTGATCAAACGCTTTGTTTGCCTTCGGGTCTTTACGAGGTGCCAACGGGCGGCACTTGACGGCATTCGGAGCTGCCGTTGACACTCTGCTCCCTGTGAATCCCGTCGAGCCCAGCCAGAATCGGACTCGAAACGAGAACGGGAACAAGAGGCAGAAGCAGGACCAGATCCAAAACCGGAAGTTCTCTGCGCCAATGAGGGTGCATAAATGTGTCGACGCCTTTTGAATATTTGTCAATTAATTTTCATGGCTCTCTCTTCCGAGGCAATTTCCAATCGAAATGGATGTGCGGAAATAGATCAGTGGCTTGCAGATGGATAATTTTGGAGGGAACACGCGCGAGCAAAGTATGCTCATAATCGAATATTTATATTTAAATAAAATTAAAATGGTTTGTATTGAGTAAAATATCGTAGGAAGCTTATTGTATAAACACGCAAGGGAAGAGTGTGTCCGGCTGTAAAAACTACGAGTAATTGCGGTGGAAAGGGCCAAGAGTATGACAAGTATACTGGCATTAGGCCAATTACCACAACGTTTCATCGACGTGCCGACTCTGCCGCTCTTTTATTTTCCCTCTTCAAAAAAAGTTCGATGAATGTCTGATAAAAAAGGGTTACAATTCTTCGATATTTCATCAGTGAAACGCGGTATGTAGGTATCTCTCTCTCGCAATCTCCAAAGGAAATATTAAAATAATAAACAAACTCCAATTATCGCGTAAATATTTGTTTAACATCAGTAAATGGATATGGAGAACAGTATAATTATACTTAAAAAGAAAACTAAAAGTCAAAACTAAACATTACAAACAAAATTATTAGCAGTAAATTATATTATATATAAGTAAGAAAAAGGAAAAGTTTTTTTTGTGCCCAAATAATGTTGATAAATTAAATTATAAAAAAAAATTCCCAATTGTTGGGGTGTTATTCCATACCGAAATAATTGCCCAAATTTAAATATGAAATAATACCCTAATCATAAAAAAGACAAAAAAAAAAAAGTTACCAAAAATTTGTATGGAATACAACAACAAAGATAAGATAATTCCCAAAAAAGAAAGAAATGAGTCTTCAACTAAAAATGTTTTGGGTATTATTTTATTTCTGTTTTAATGGAAAATACGTAAAAAGCTATGTTTGAATCCCTTAATTAAATTAAATTATAATTTTTATCAAAAGTTTGTAACGTAGTAAAGAGACATTTCCTACCCTATAAAGTATATATATTCTTGATCAGCATCAACAGCCGAGTCGATCTAGCCATGTCCGTCTGTCCGTCAGTATGTCCGTCTGTCCGTTTCTACGCAAACTAGTTCCTCAGCCAAGTTCGAATTTCAGTATTAACTGTTTGAATATGAATAAAAAAAAGTTTTAACTGTAACATATTTTCATTTATGAGCTATGAGAATTGGGTTTTATTTCAGAATTTTGCCTTTCATTTTATGAAAATAGCAATTGATTAATATAGAAAAAAATGAAAAGCTGTGAATGTATGGTATTATTGGTAAATGTAATAGAAGTTGTTATTACTTTGCTTTTGTTCAGCATATATGTATATTTATAATTCATATTTTATTAGCTATTTAAAAATTATGTTTTTAAAATAAGATATTTTTTTTATATATATTTCCTTTTGGTTTTTCTTTTCATTTGATGTTTTAATGTCTTTCACATTTCACTTTTCAAAAATTCTCATTTTGAAACATTGAAAAGACAAAATGATTGAAGGTTCAACAAAACCAATAAGCAAGGAATGTTAAGTGCAGCTTCTTACTTTCTAGGATGTTATATAAAAGACAATGACATTTTCATTAATATGGAGCCAACAAAGAATATTTCTAGTGAAAAAGATGACAATAACGGAACGAAAATTCAGATACAGATTCAAAATACAGATGATCGCAAATGTACAATTTTTTAGGACTAAACAACTTTATTTCTCCCGTGCAAAATTTAAAAACTTGTGCAGAATGCAATTTAAAACTACAAGAATATGCAGTTTGAAATAATTCAGATCCAGAGTTCAGTTGAAAATTTCAATGCAAGTTTTTATTTAATTTATAATAAATTAAAAACGTTTCACAAACATTTTTGAATACGGAGTTTTAAACAGTTTTTGAATTGGTGAATTATTTCCATTATTATATTAATAATTTTTTTTATCAAAAATGTAATGAACTCCCCAAATTCCATCAAAAAAATAAATTTTTGGGGACTTATTCGTTTATTCTTTACTTAATTAATTGGGGGGTTATTTCCTAGCGCCGATAAATCATCAATTGTTGAATTTGTCAATGATGACAGCCTATGACATGCCAATGTTAATTTCATCGGTAATTTTTATCGTTTAGCGTTATCGCCGACATGGATGTTAATGAATTCCTAATGAATTACTGATGACTGGTACTACAGTTTGCATCTCTTTTCACTCGCAAAAATAATAGTAACACCTGGTGTTGCTGTAAAAGGCTTATTCCGGTTTCTGGAAGCTTACATCAAACTTAAATGAAATTAAAATTAATTAAATAAAACGTAGAAGCGCAGAGCTGTCAGCCCGTTTCGACGAATCGAAGGTTTATTCAGTGTGAATGGCGACTTTAGATTTCAAATCGTCGAAATAGTTCGTGCGGAATTGCCCAAAATTTAAACTAAGAACGCAGTAACAAAGAAAACGCAGAATAGAACAACAATTCTTCTACTTATTTTTGCGGTTCTTCTTGGCATTTTTCTTTTTGCGATTGGTTGACTTGGAGAGCTGCGGATCGCTGGACTCCTTCGTCTCCTGATCCGGCACTAGTGGACCCTTTGGCGGCAGAGCACTCGGTTTCTTATCCAGAAGAACCTTCCCCTTCCCAAGCCCAATTGCCTCAGCGGACATCTTGAAGTCCTTGGGAAGTCTAAAGAGGTCATTTGGTGGCAAAAAAGTCGGGTCCTGGTCTAGGGGCTCTTCCTCGGTCTCGATGAGGTCATCGGACTTATTTCCATTTTTTGGACGTCTGTAGAGGGCCAGGAAGTCCAGTTCGCTGGAGGAGATGGATGTGACGTCCTCCAAGTCCTCCACTTCCATGTCTGGCAGTTTGCCACAAGTGAGACTGGCGAGAGACAGATGGAGCTTGTGGCCCCTGGCGGAGCCCGGATCGAGGCCACCGCCCTCCTGCTCTTGGTAGGCCTCCTGCATCTTGCTCTCGCCAGCTCGCTGCAGTTCATCCAGCTTATCCAGTTCGTCCTCTCGCTCGCGCAACTGCTTGGGCGTAAACACCAACGGCTGCCAGTAGAGGAGCAGCGTGGACATACGCTTCACGCCCACCTCCTCCAGCACACTGTGGTTCTCCAGCAGGGCACCCTTGTACGTCAGCCGACTGAAGCCCATGGGCACGGTCATGTGCAGCCCGATCCGGGCCTTCAGCTGGCCCACGGTCCCAAAGTGATCCAGCTCGTACAGGGTCTTTCGTCCGTCGCGGGTCACCACGTGGACAAGCATCTTGCGCATTTTCGGAGTGGCTCAATTTTGCGCCGTTTACTTATTGGTCAGATCTGGTCAAGGAAAATTTTAGTGTGAGCTAACTTGTCCGAAATCCTGTCATCGAAATAATATCGTAAAGCCAAGGCACTCTGCGGCGGCATCTGAATCATTCCCCCCGAATGAAAGGTCTCAATCTGAGATTCTGCATTTTGAAATAAACTTATCCTCAGGGAATGATGTACCTAGACAGCCTGCAGCCTAAGCCAAGTTGCATGTTGTTCATTAATTTGTACATGAATTTGTTCTTTAATTTTAAATAATATTGAATTTACATTTTCTTAAAATTCCATCAGTTTGCTGTCATTTTCAATGTTCTCTCTGGGGCAAATCAATAACGCATTATAGATCTACGCACTTATCGAAATGTAAATGGGTTTCATTAAACTGTAATAGTTTAGTTCTCCACTATTTGTACTTGAACAAGTAATTAAAAATAAGAATGGCATTGGTAATACCAAAACGATTAATCAAATTTAAAAGCTATATGTATATCGACTTTACTTGGGTCGATCAATGGCGGCGGTACTGAATATGCAAAACAAAAAAAATAAAAAAACAAAAAAGCAGCCACTTAACTCAACTCAATGGCGGCAGAGCCAAAAAAATTAAGGAACAACAATAGCACTAACGGAGGCAAACAGAAGCGGAGGCAGATACAGACGCAGAAATGGCAGTTCCATAAATGGATAATGGATAAATCCTGGGAGCAACTGGATGCGGAGATTTATATTGAGGAGGAAGGTAAACAAATCCGCTCAGGTGGAAGCCCAAGCCCGGGCCCCGGCCCCGGCCAGGTACCTAGCGTTAATTGAATGCCCGTGGCTGATGGAAAGCAGACCCCTTTTCTTTAATTTCCATTTTGTGATGCCAGGGGGGGGGGCAAGGGAGTGTGGCATTCTGCCGCAGGGCAGGGTCCCCGTGGATCTAACAGCAAACAGACGCCATTTTAATGGAGCCCCAACGCCGCCACCCCTTCACTCGCTCTTCTATCTCTTTGTCTTTGTCTTTGTCTCTCTCTCTCTCTTGGATTCACTCACACACCTGCACTTGAAAGAAAGTTTTCCTAAAATATCTACTAATTTCCATACTAAAGTTTATAGTAATTATAAATTTTGTCATAAAACAGCATTAATTTTGGAAATATTTTGATGAATTTTATAAAATAAATATGTATTGAGGTATGATTTTTAGGGAAGCTCCCATGGCCCTTTAAAGAAAAGTTGGTTTGCGGTGTATATCCAAACTGTTCACAAGATTATCAGGAGTAAAAGCAGATTTTTATAACTCTAATACTAATAGATTTTAAAAGTAAATTTTAAAAAGACATGCAGATTTTTAGTTATCGTGTGCATCGACTTCCAGTACTTTTTGATGCATGAAAATGATTTTACATATGGGCATTTCCACAGAAAGGTCAACCGCGGCCAAAACACTAAAACTTCTCTAAAGTGTTTTTTTCCAACATAGTAACATTAGGAAAAGGCCAATTCATTAAATTTGAAGGGCTTTATCATATTCTAAAACAAGTTTCGAAATATTCGAATGCATATTCGCGCAAACACGATTTTTCATTATTTTGATGAAAAACATCATAAAAATGGGCCTGTTTTCTTTTGATAATTACATCGAAACCGAGGCACTAACTGTTGACTGTTGTTTACTAACATCACTAGAAGAATGCAAAAAGTCGAAATAAAATGGATATATGCTCTTCCAATTTACTTATAATAGTAAAAATTACCTGCAAAGTATGATGATAAAAACTGTCGCGTGCGAATCTGATTAAAATTAAATAAAAATAAACTACGCTATATTTCTGATTGTAAATTAAAGCATATGAAACTGGCATTACTGCATCACATTTTAAAATTTGTTTCATTAAAATAATCCCTGCCGTTTCGCTGAAATCAGTGTTTAAACAGCTCGCCGCAAAAGTGACTTCTGTTTTTGTCGCGTGCGAATCCCTTAGTTTTTTTAAATGTTCTTAAATTTGGGCAAACACTCAAAATCAACATTTGCACCAATTATAGTCCTAGGCAAGAGCTATAAGTTAACATTTATAAAAAAAATAGAAATTAAATGTACCATACTTTTTTTTTGCTTTGAATGCGTACGAATGTCGCGTGCGACATTATGGAAATGCCCATATTTATTCTTAAAATTAGAATTACAAAAAAAATGAAATACTTTTAATATTAACGATATATAAATTATTATGCAATCGTAACATAAAAACATACATATTTTCGAGTAGTAATAGTTATGTGAACATTTACAATTGAAATACTTTTCAAAAGTCTTATACAAAATTGGCTAGGTATTTATATCTAATACACATGGAACAGATTTAGCCTTAATATTATATATTTAATCTAGTCACTTTCAATTTTTTTTACAGTGCCCCACTTTCCTCTGCCTTAAGATTCCGTTCTTCTCTTTACGGTTTATTTAGTGTCGAGGTTATGGCGCAATTTGTATTTATGGCCACTGGCAGTAGCACTGCCACCGCGAGTCTCGGATCAGATCCCAGATCCTCTGCAGCACGGGCCTGAGCACCGCATTGGCCGCAGTTAAATTAGAAGCGTTTTCCAAATGAGGTGCATGACTCAGGTCAGCCACCCCTCACCGCCCGGTCACGTCCATGACTCTCATTCCCTTCCGTGAAAAGTAAACAAACAAAAAACATAAAAAAAGAAGAAAAACAACACCCCTCGACCTTCTCCTGATTCTCCACAGGCCACGCCTCCTCGGAAAGATCTCTTTCTTGTGATTCTTCAAAGAATCAAAATAGAACATCATGAAAGCGAAGTGGAAGAGAGTCTGAGGAGAGACTACAGTGAAGAGTGGTCTTCCAGAGAAACTTACAAATTTACGTTTGACTCCTGAAATGTATTCTTGTATTTGTTTTAGGGTTCGGGAACGGTCTATATTTACCATATACCCGAGGTTTGAAAAATTCAAAGGTACATATGTAAATCTATTCTTGGTCAACATCAACACATCAACAGGCGAGTCGATCTATCCGAGTCCGGTTAAATGTTTCTACACTGATAAAAAAATAGAATTTTGGTCATAAAATCGTGACCATTTGGTTATGAAAGTAGCGCAGGAATATGTTGATCCTCTTTTAAGATTTTTGGTCTTTATTCAAGAATTTTTGTATCATAATTCAAGATTCTAAGGAGTAATGATTTAAGCCCAAACATTCTATTTTTAAATTTGTATTATAGACATTATTAAATCACTTAGATTAGAATATAAAATCCTATTAAAAGCTACTTACATTTCCCAATCTCCGGGCGGGATTCGATTCGATTCGATTCGATCTGATCAATCGACTACTAATGTGGAAAATGCTAATTCATAAAACTCCAAGGAGAGAGCAAAAAAGAAAGTATCTATCTCTCTGTATCTATTAAGAATGATCGTAAGAGCGGGACGACATTATGACTTCCATTTTTAAGTAAGAAAACTTGGACAACAGTAGTATGTACACTCTTCTAAAATTTTAAGGATTACAAGAATCCTAAATTAAGTTTTTTAATTTATGATATTAAACGTTTTTGGTATTGTTTTAAGATTATTCGAATTGTTTTTAGAATATTCGGTCTAAATTAAATTTTTTTTTTAAGATTGTGGAAAATCTTAAATGTAAATATTTTTTGTGCTTGAATAAACCCTAAAAATCTCAGTTCTCGAATTTTCGGTCTTTTATTAAGTTTTTTATTTAGGATCGCGCAATCTTAAAAGAAGAATTTTTTATCAGTGTATTATATAGTCTCTCGTTTTTAGAGCTACTTATGTTTATGAAAGCAACTTTCCATGTAGTCTTATTTTAATCGCTGGTCTTTGATTAGAAAAATAAAATAAATGAATTAAATAATGCTCAGATTTATGAAATACTCAAATTAAAGTGTTTTGATGCCACCTGACAGACAAAATGTTATTAGGAACATGTTGCGCAACATGTTTATATGAACTTGCTTAGCAACATTATTTGGTCCTACCAACACAAATGTATTTGTTGCAAAGAGAAAAACTTCGTTGTCTAATAACTCTCACATTTTTGTTATCCGTCTCCATTTTTCAGAAAAATATGCAACTCTGGGCAAAATATCCTTGTACCTTATGGATAATAAAAAAGGTTTGTGATTTTTTAACGAACTTTCATTTACTCCGAGGTATATCATTTAAGACTTACAATTAATAGTTAATATGAGAACGTTTGGAAATGGAATAAATAAAAAGAATATGAAAATGTATTAAAGTTAGTTCTTATTTTACATACCAGTAAGGATATACAAGTTTCTGCTTCCAGGAGTAAGCCTTTTTTCTGCTTTTATTTATATATTTTCATTTCGTCTGAGAAATCCTTCAAAGGATTCATTTTGAGATTTGGCATACATATCGTTTGACTTACCGCATATTTAAATTTTCAAAAGTCTGCAATCCTCACTGTATCCACACATCTGGTGGCTGCGCTACTTGAGTTCCGCCGGGGATTTTCCTCAAAGTGTCCATCTCACAAGACACAATCGGCGGAGGGGATAACACATGTCGACATCGACCCAAGCGGAGAGCTCGACAAGGAGGAGAGATCTCGGTCCCTCGGCCATTGGTGGATCGCTTGGCACTGGGATCGAGTCTAAATTTGGATGCTGCTGCCCGACGATTGGCTGGGAGACTCTTGAGGGACCAGTGGGTGGGTTAGAAGCGACTCGAGAGGATGGGATCGGCATCCGATGGCCCCGATGGGAACTCTCATTCGGCGGACAAACGCTTGTCGGAACGGATGTGTGATGTGCGATCGCTGCGACCAGATCAGTGTCAGTACCAGTGCCAGTGAGGGATTGTGATCAGATCGTCGGAGATAATATGCCAGATACATACGGATAGTGCATCGGCGGAAATCAGTTCGCACTTGGCCGGAAAAAGGTGGCAATTGAGACAACTCAACGCCTTCGCCCAGACGAGGTTCAAAAGGAAAACAAATAAAACAAGTTGAAGTCTATCAATCGGTCGATGGTGGCAATTTGGCGATCGATCACGGACAAAAAAATCGCCAGTCAACGCAATCGGGCCATAAAATTTAAAATAAAAGAAATAAAGCTTGGAGAGCAACACTTTTTTTTGTTGTACTTGTATTTCGATTTCGATTTCGATCTCGATCTAGATTGTGATTGACAACTGCGAAAGGTTGTGGTGATTTTTCAACAAGTCCCCCTCCCCCCTCCCTGAATACAATTTTTTTGCAGTGCCGCGAGTGAGTGATGCTGTGTGTGTGCAATAATCAAATCTGACAACTGCGCGAAAAACGTTTGAGATCAAAACAGCCAAAAGTCAAACAAATCAAACCCATATAAATGGGCCAAGAATAAAGAATATTTCGTGTTTTTTTTTTTCCTGTGACCCCCACCTGATATATAGTAGAATGACTCACCTGATGGGTCCCACGGAGTGCGCCAGTGCCATGATGACGCCCTCGATGCAGTTCCTGGACAATGGTCTGGGCGCAAATCTCACGGATTACAGCTGCTATGCCAACGATTACTGGGTCACTCCCTACATGTCCGGCGGCCTGAGTCCCATGAAGCAAATCGAAGGTGAGTGTAGTCCTACTCTGGCGGAAAATCTGATCTGATGAGGAGGAATCCTTTACCCCATTTTTGTAAGCAATCATTTTTAAATATTTTTTAGGAAGGATATAATAACAAGTAATCCAGCTTAAGTTCTCAATTCTTAATTAAAAAATATAAATTGCTTAGACAGTTTCATATGGCAAGTATATTAGTAAGACCCTTCCTTTCTAAACACTTGCGCATGGTGAATTTGTTTCTGAAACATCAAACAAATCTAAAATTATAATGGTTTTCAAATGCACTCAACATGGATGAAAAGAATTGTGCCCTTAAACCTGATTTCTCACATCACTGTCAAGGTTCCTGATTGCTATTTGGCAGAAAAATAATATGATTTCCAAATAAATTTGACGTAAAGCAAGTCAATATCCTCTTGTGAACTCTTCTCCAAGTTATCTTATTTTTTAGTTGGCTAACTGAAATTATGATTTTGATTTTTATTCATTTACACATTTAGACAGACAACTTTTCTAAGTTGTATAATTTTTAATGACCCTTAATATGATAATACACCAGTTTGAAAAACTTAGTTTTGGGAAAACCACAAAGGAAAAAACGTTGCTGGAGTTTTCTTATACCTTTTGGATTTATTTTAATTCTTAAAAGTTCAAAGAATTTTTAGAGACAACTAAAGCTTTTTAAAAATGTACACGCTTACACTCAAGGAATTAGGAAGATAAGGCTGTTAAGCCCAGGATTTCCTGAGTTAAAAAGAGTTTCTATCCATATCCATATTCATGTCGTTCATAGCTAAGATTGATATAATAATAAGGAATACTTGTTTGACAGCCTAACAATCCCAGTCATTCCCGGTTATTTTTATGAACTGGAAAATATAAATAATATATTATAAAAACAAAAAACAGAAATTATAGTGTTACAACCTTAGAGTGATATTTCTGTTTCGGGGAAAAGATCTCTATAAAGAAATCTTAAGTGAAGAGTTGGAAAGCTGGAAAAATGTTATTTTTTCGTCAAGAGAAACTTTCAAGCTCAGAAAATGATACAAAATCGTAAAATTAGACCAAAATCGCTTTAAACAGCATCAACTCAAAAGATAGAATACAAATATTATTTTGCTATTGAGGACTTTCATTATTTTGTGAGAGCTTTTCTTTAAAATCCCAAACACTCCCTTTGCTTATTTAATATATAAATATAAAAAAATGCTGTAAATAATTATACAAATAATATTAATATTTTTAAAAGTATTCTTTATTTTTAAAGTCAATAAACCAGAGAATATTTGACATAAACACAGTTTGATAATAGTTAATCATTTGTTAAGCCCTGAAGAGAGAACCACAAAGACCGAGACGGAGACCGGAGCCGTATTTCTTTCGCTGGATTTGGTTTCCGATACAGTAATTACCAAAATACACGGACCATGGCAGCTCGGCGGAACAAGCAATGAGACGCCACAAGACCAGAAAACCAGAGCAATTAGCTCCGAATTCCGGGATCCCAGATTCTCAAGTGGCATTTTTCCGCTGGCCGGGCCGGCCCTTGTTGTTGTTTGATGTGACAGAAAAACGATTTGTTGTGCCAAACGGTAATTGATTTTAGAATTCATTCGTGAAGCGGTACAGTTCAGGAGATGTGCGGCAAAAAACAGCAAAGAAATAAAAAAAAATAGCGTTTCATTAAGCGATAAAACAGCGACCTGTCATGGGTCATTGGTGGCGATGCCACAACTCTCAAGAGAGACATTTAATTGCAAAATTCACCCGACTCGCGACCGCCAGGCGTACTTATTCCCTCAAAACAAACAAAAATAAATAAAAGAAATTACAAAAAGAAAGGAGAACCTAAATTTAGACGCGAGCAACTCAATCAGCGGCCGCTGCCTGACGCCTTTTTATAATTGGATATGTTGTCCCATTTGTTTCGAAAGTCGGCTCATTATATGGGGCTGTGGCATCGCCCAGGTCCTGGCTCGGGCGGAATCCCAGGGATTCCTTCTGTATCTGCGCCGGCGTGGCGTCTCACTTCCACTTTAAATCGCATAAATCACATTAAATGCGAAATTAGCCTATCTCGGCGGCTATATATAAATCCATTCACTTTTCTTACTCACTGCGGACTTATACCATGTGCGACACATTTGATTTATAGGAAAATATATTCCACCCATTTTAATTTTCTTCTCATTTTCCCTCAACACTATTTGATTTCAGGGCGCTGTAGTTGAACCAAATCGGAATTTGGAGCTAATACGATTTTATATGTTTTTAAGCTAATGTTTTATTTAGAACTATACGAATTATTTGCATTATCTGCAGTACGTATGTAGGGTAAAAAAAATAGGTTGTAACTAAATATTTCGACGTAGTTGGTAGAGTTTTATTTATTTTTATACCCTTGCAGCGTATTATAATTTCAGTCAGAAGTTTGCAACGCAGTGAAGGAGACATTTCCGACCCTATAAAGTATATATACTCTTGATCAGCATCAACAGCCGAGTCGATCTAGCCATGTCCGTTTGTCCGTCCGTCCGTCCGTCCGTCTGTCCGTTGCTACGCGTTACCTTGGACCGTAAACTTACGTTCGGCAGGCATGTTGCGAACATTCAGCATGCTTTTAAGGCTAAAGTTTCCCGGATGGCATGGCTCCTGGCACCCCGCAACAAACTATCGCTTTACTCCAAGGTCATGATATATAAGTCAATACTAGCCCCCTCCCTGTTTTATGGCCTTCAAGTTTATGGAATTGCTGCAAGATGTCATTTGAACAAGATACGGATTCTTCAAGCAAAAACATTAAGGAGGATCTCTGGGGCTCCTTGGTATATGAGGACTAGAGACATTGAACGAGACCTAAAGGTGCCCAAGCTTGGAGACAAACTTCACACTGTTTCAACTAAGTACATGGAAAAACTTAACAATCACCCTAATAGTCTGGCTAGAAGATTAGCCACCGCTGAACACAGAATACGAGTCAGGAGAAGACTTAAACGTCACCACCCTCAAGACCTCCCCGACAGGATCTTGACATAAAATATCAGACAAAACATGAAAATCATTTCAAATTATGTAAACATAACTTAACTTAATACTCCTCCAAAACAAAGCATTGTAAACATAGAATTAACTTCCAATTAGGTTTAGTTGCCAAATATCTAGGTAACAGTGCACTAGTCAAATAAAATTTCATTATTTTTTTTTTCAAAAAAAAAATAGAAACGATCGGTAGATGTAGAGCTGGGAATGTAAAACTGTAACTGTCAGACTGTAGACATAATAAATATAGGTAAAATGTAATGAAACTCTGTTTTGTGTGTGTTTTTATAATAATCATTTTATTTGTTCTATTAATTTAACTAGAATAGCTCGATTCTAATGATCCTATTGCAAACTGCAAGGGTATACGAACTTCGGTGTTAGCTTCCTTCCAAAAATAATAATATTATTATTATTAATATTAATATATATATATATATTGTGCTTAACGCGCAATGTTATAAAAGTTATTTAACTCGCTGTAGGGTTCAGTTCACGCAGGACCCGAAACAGTTTTATAACTTTGTTAATACTAAGCGGAAACCCAATTTACATCCTTCATCGCTTTCGTTCAAGAACGCTACAGCAAACTCTGATCAGGCCATCGCCGATCTCTTTGCCGAGTTTTTCAAAACTACGTATTGTTCCTTAAATTGCTTAGATCAGACTTACTCTTTTGATTTGCCCAAGTCGAACCTAATTTTCAGTCCTATTTTAACCGAAAGCTCCCTTAGTTCGGATCTTCATCGTGTAAAACCAGTTTACTCACCGGGTCCCGATGGAATACCAGGCTGCGTGCTCAGGTATTGTGCCGGAGCTCTGTGCAATCCCCTTCTGAAATTGTTTACCTTATCTTTAGAAACCTCAGAATTTCCCCTTATTTGGAAGGAATCATTTATCATTCCTCTCCACAAAAAAGGTAGCAAATCGGACGCCAGCAACTATAGAGGAATCTCTAAGTTGTCGGCAATTCCAAAACTTTTCGAGAATGTAATTACTCCCCACTTGCAGCATTTATGCAGATCCGTAATTTCACCATGTCAGCATGGTTTTATGAGGCGAAGATCGACCACTACAAATCTTCTGGAACTCACCTCCTTCATTATTAGAGGTTTCCAACGTAACTTACAAACCGACGTGATTTACACAGACTTCAGTAAAGCTTTTGACTCGGTTAATCACTCTCTTCTTGTAAGGAAGCTTGACTTAATCGGGTTTCCGGTCGATCTTCTTAAATGGATTTTGAGCTATTTGAGTGACAGAACTCAAAAGGTTCTGTTTAAAAATGCTCTATCCAAATTCCTCAGAGTCACTTCTGGCGTCCCACAGGGTAGCCACCTCGGCCCGCTGCTATTTACATTGTTTATCAATGACCTCCCGCTGGTTCTAACGAATTCTAGAGTACTTATGTACGCTGATGACGTTAAACTATGCTTGCAGTATACGGACAGCTCTTGCCAGTCAGACCTGCAATCGGATCTTAATAACTTTCAAGCATGGTGTCGTGCTAATTTATTACATCTCAATAACTCTAAATGCAAGCTGATGACATTTTCACGTGTCACTCCCCAGTTTGCCACATATATGCTAAATGATTGCGCTCTTGAAAGAATATCTCTTGTTGATGATTTAGGCGTTCGCTTAGACCCTAAACTTTCGTTCTCTGAACATATTTCGTGCATGGTTAATAAAGCCAAAGGCATGCTCGGTTTTATTAAGAGGTGGTCGAAGGAATTCGATTCCCCTTATATAACGAAGACCCTTTTTACTTCGTTAGTTCGCCCTATATTGGAGTATGGTTCATGCGTCTGGAGTCCTCAATTCGGAATCCATATTAACCGTATTGAATCTGTACAAAAGAACTTTTTACTTTTCGCCCTCCGTGGCCTACCTTGGGATGCTGATGAGAGGCTACCGTCCTATTCAAGTAGACTCCTATTAATTAACTTACCCTCCCTAGCTAACCGTAGAACGATGCTTGGTGTCGTATTCCTTCATAACCTAATAAACGGTGATGTTGAGAGCCCCTTTCTTTTAGGGCAGCTTAACTTCCACGTTCCCCGACTAACATCTAGAACCCTAATCCCTTTATTTGTAAATCACTGTAGGCGGGAGTTTGAAGTACATGAACCCTTTAGGGTTTTATGTACGGATTACAACCGCCTCTCTGACATTATAATTCGTAGTGACAGCCCTTCCGTACTAAAAACTTTAATACTTGTTGAGTTAGCTCGTAATGTATCACCTTAATCTAATTTTGCATGCGTTTTTATTTATTTATTGTAGTATTTAGTTACATTATATTAATTTTTTAATATTTATTTTGCATGCGTTTTTATTTATTTATCGTAGTTATTAGTTAGTTACATAATATTATACTTTTTTATATTTATTTTGCATGCGTTTTTACTTATTATATTTATTTTGCATGCGTTTTTACTTTTATTTTACTTATATATATATATTAATAAATTTTATTTTTTTCTTAGTAAATTTTACTCTCGTATCGTAACTCTCGTAACGTTTCCTCGTTCTTTTCTTCTTTCATTTACCGCGTCTATCTAGTTCGCGATTCGTGCCGTACGTCACGCGGCTGCGCCCCTCGGTCGGTTGGGCGGGAGGTGGAAGCGGGACCCCGCGCGAAAAAAAAAAAAAAAAAAAAAAAAAAAAATATTATACAACAAAAATAATATTATTATTGCTATAGCAACAAAATAAAATTACAATTTCCCTCACTTACCTTCAATTCAAGAAAAATGACCCTAAATGAATGAAAAAATTAAACTTTCTTTTAAGAAAAGTTTTTCCCATATTTAGGGAAAATCGCCCTAAAAACAATACATTTTTTCTACATTCAAGAAAACTCTTTTTAAATGTTAGAAAGAATTAACCTTTAATTTTAGGAGAAAAGTTCCCATATTTTGGACAAATCGACTTAAAAACAAGAAAGGAAGCTAACTTCGGCACGCCGAAGTTTGTATACCCTTGCAGATTGGTTTTGATATTTATATTATAAATTCTAATGCTGAAGACACACACAAAACAGAGTTTCATTATATTTTACCTATACTTATTATGTTTACAGTTTGACAGTTACAGTTATACATTCACAGCTTTACATTTTCTCAACATCTACGGATCGCTTCTATGGCAGCTATATGATATAGTTGTCCGATTTTCAAATTATTGTTCCCAAAATTCTGAAATAATACTAAAAGCTCATGTCTCAAAGTAGATAAAAATACGTTGAAAAACAACGAAGTTCTAATTTTTCTTTTACTTTCCCTATCGTTCCTATGGCAGCTATAAGATATAGTCGTCCGATTTTCATAAAATTTATACCAAAATTCTGAAATAATACCAGAAGCTCATGTCTTAAAGTAGATTAAAATACGTTGAAAAACAACGAAGTTATAATTTTTTTCGATTAATTTTCCGATCGTTCCTGTGGCAGCTATAAGATATAGTGGTCCGATTTTCATAAAATTTTTTACCAAAATTCTGGAATAATATAAAATGGCTATATCTCAAAAATGATTCAATAATATTGAAAAACAGCCAAGTTATAATTTTTTTTCTAAAAATTTATCGAACATTTGTATGGCAGCTATATGATATAGTCGTCCGATCCGGCCCATTCCGACATATATAGCAGTGAGAGTATATAGAAGACTATATGCAAAGTTTCATTCAGATAGCTTTAAAACTGAGGGACTAGTTTGCGTAGAAACGGACAGACGGACAGACGGACGGACAGACGGACAGACGGACATGGCTAGATCGACTCGGCTGTTGATGCTGATCAAGAATATATATACTTTATAGGGTCGGAAACGTCTCCTTCACTGCGTTGCAAACTTCTGACTGAAATTATAATACCCTGCAAGGGTATAAAAATTGTTGTTCTACATTTAGGAAATGATTCAAGAAAGGTTCTTTCGTAATTTTAGAGCAAATTTTTTTTTAATTTATAGAGCGACTTACCTTTGGATCCATTTTAATGGCGAATTTCTAAAACTACGGGCGAAATAAGGCTTTTTTATGGCGATTTCAGGTTAAAAATTTGATGGCTGTATATACTCTTTAGGGCCGGAAATGTCTCCTTCACTACGTTAGAAACTTTTGACTGAAATTATAATACCTTGCAAGGGTATAAGAAGAATATGATCCGATTTTTCTAGATAATCGCATAAGATTACATATCGCTTAGCACCAATATGACATTTTGATCAATCTTAAAATGTATACATATAAAATAAAAAAAAATAATAATACTAATAAATATCATGGGAGCTCCGGCATTTGCCTTTTACAGGTTCTAACGTTTTCAGTGCTTCCGTTCTCACTTTCCAAAGGTTTTCTTTTACGCTTTGAAAATCAAGCAAGTTTGTTTTTACACAGATAAAAAAAGCGGTATACTGTTGCCAAATTTAAACAACGAACACACTTAATATTTTCAATCATTTCAATTTTTGATTCAATCCCGCTAATCTTAAAAATTGTAATCCCTAAAAATGCAGATTTAATCACAAGTTGGCCTAAAATAAAATTTTAAAAAGTAAATACCAATTAGAGCTGACTTTAAATTCCTAAGCAATATCAAAATAAGATTCTGTTTTTTCTAAACTTCTTTGTGAACGATTTTATTTTATCTGTAATTGTAAAATAAACGAATCTTCAAAAAAGGAACTTACTTTCTTGAATCCCGTCCAGGTTTTGAGCCAATGTCTCAGAATTCTCAGACAGTCCGCTTACCAACTGGGTCACTGGGGCAATAGATTTTTTTGGATTTTTCAGATTTGAATAAAAAATGTTTGGGATTATTTATCATCTTTTAAGAGTTTGTTTAAGCTTTAGGAATTTTATTACTTGAATCCCGAAACAGGATTAATTCAAAAATTCAACCCCAAATCGAACTTAAAAATTATAAGAAATTATAATTTATCTATGAAGAAAATAAAAATGACGCGACTTTTTCGGACATTGAATCGTAACCAATGAAACTAATTCTCTACTCTCTTATTATTATTCCTAAATATTTTCGTTTTATCGAAAATGATCTTCAAACAAGATCTTTTTTTATGCATTTTGTGGAATTATGATTTTGATCAGAAGATTGCAGAGTCGCTATAGCCATGTCCCTCTGTCCGTCCGTCTGTCCGTTACTATGCGGTTTAGACTCTCCCTGTTTGAGCTACATTAGTAAAAGAATAAGTCCGGGACTACTTTTTCAAATACCTGTCAAATTATATTTTCGCAATTTTCCTAAATATTTTTATCTACTTTAAGATGTGTCATCTTTTAATATTACACGTTACACAGAAAACGTATGAAAATTAAACAAATATAGCAAAGAGATTAAATAATAATACATAAATAAATAATGAATAATAAATGACAAATACTGTTTTTAATCTTACAACATATGGAATGAGTGCCATGGGAATGATTGTTCAATTACAAATCTTGAATATCTCTCCTGTTTTTCTCCTTTGTTCTCAATTGACCAATATCAAAAGAGTTTAAATGAAATAATTGCAAACTGAAAGAGTAGCTTTCTTTTTGTTAAAATTTTTTATAGTATAAAAATTTAGATATTTTATGAATAATGATAAAAAAACAACACTTGCAGCCTGCATCCAAACGGCGGGCAAGGATCGAAGCTCCTACAAGCCGCTGGAGCAGATCGATGCCAAGTTGGCGGACATCGAGACTCTTAGCACGGGCAGCATTGGCACTGCCAACAGCAGCAGCCACTCCAGCAGCAATCCCCAATCCCATACCAGCTGCCAGGAGCAGTCCCTTCTCCCCGATTACCCCGGCGCCTCCAATGAGTCGTCGCCAGGATCAGCGTCAGCGGGTGCAGCAGCCACATCGCCGTCGGCGTCTGCGTCGGCGTCGGCGACGGCACCGGCGGGAGGAACTGCTTCCAAGAAATACAAAAGCCAACACAAAAAAGACAGCAACAATAGCACGGAGAATAGCTCGGGGAAAGCCCAGAACAACAATAGCAACAACATCGGCAAAGGGGTAAGACAAAGTTGGTTAAATTAAAAAAGTTAATGGGAGCATGCTTGTTAAATAAAATAAAATAGAGAGAGTGCTTACCAATAGAACTAAAAACAAATTTCTAAAGTATTCCCCACTTGTTGTTTGCTATCAAGGAAGCGGAGCCAGTGCATCCGTCTCTCGCGCAGGCCATCGTTGTGCTGGAGACAAAGGCTCTGTGGGATCAGTTCCATGCCCAGGGCACCGAGATGATCATCACGAAGACGGGCCGTCGTATGTTTCCCACTTTCCAGGTGCGGATCGGAGGCCTTGATCCGCATGCCACCTACATCTGCATGATGGACTTTGTGCCCATGGATGACAAGCGCTACCGCTACGCCTTCCACAAGTAAGCTTTTCTTTTCGACTTGAAGCGGTGATATTAAATATAAATAATACAAATAATTATATTGTCTATATAATATTTAAATTATATAAATATAATTTAAAATGTTTTTGTTAGCAACGACCTATAACTAATAAGAATTTGTAAAGTTCGTCTCCAATCGGTTCAAAAACAACAAAAAGAACTATTGCCGATTTTCGAGGTTTGCTTTTGCCTTCACATCGATGCTTAGGACTCCCAACGGGTTCCAGCTTAGATGGAAGGTAAAGTACCAAGAAAATGAGCAATTCTTAGCAGGTGGTTTGATGATTTGGGTAGCGCCAATGAAACGATCGTAACCACGGCTATTGACAAGCCCGAGTCTAAAGAACTTCACAAATTACAGTTTAAAATAATACGTACCATACGTAATATAAATATAATAAACAACACGAATAATACAATGCTTCTTGAATAGCTCCTGCTGGGTGGTGGCTGGCAAAGCGGATCCCATCTCCCCGCCCAGGATCCATGTGCATCCCGACTCACCTGCTGCCGGCTCCAATTGGATGAAACAGATCGTGTCCTTCGACAAACTGAAGCTCACCAACAATCAGCTGGACGAAAATGGACATGTGAGTTCTTAATTCAACTAAAACGATTTCAATTGGGCTAAAAATTGAAATTTAAAACTTCTACAGAATGCCATGGACTATTTGCTTCGAATTCTTTAGATTAATTCCTGATTTCCCCTTATTGTCCTTCCTGTATCCTTTAGATCATATTGAACTCAATGCACCGCTATCAGCCCCGATTCCATTTGGTGTATTTGCCGCCGAAAAACGCGTCCTTGAATGAAAACGAGCACTCCAGTCACTTCCGCACCTTCATCTTTCCGGAGACAAGTTTTACGGCCGTGACTGCCTATCAGAATCAGCGGGTGAGTAATATTCATATTATTATTATTATTGTTGTTTTTAGTCCGAGCTTTGCATTTAAGTTTCTATAGAAACTACTACTATACTACTTCGGAGATTTTTCTGTGACTTTTGTAAATTTCTTGTACAAATTTCGCTCTCACCAATTGCCCAATGCCCGCCCGACCCCCTGCTTTTTCGCCTGAATTTTCCAGCTTGTGATTTTCCCTTCGCATACCAAAGACTAAACAAGAGGCCGCGACCATTTTGCACCAATTTGGCCTCATTGTTTATGTTTTTTCCATAATTTATAACGAGCAGAGCAAGCGGACAAAGCTCGGGGCCCGAACAACAGCCGCACAAATATATTTGATTATATGTAACCATAATGTGTATGCCGCCCGGGAGAAGCGGACATCGACCCTGGAGATACCCTCGTCAATAGAAAATATTTCTCTTTCTTTTCTTTTTTGAGAAAATATTTGGAAAGCAAGATAATCTATTTTATTCTTTTTGATAATATTTATTAAAACTTTCCTATAAATATAAGACTTTTCTTTAAACTTTTTGAGTTTTTTATAATTTTAAAACCCATTTTGCGAATAGTATTTTCCTAGGAAAACCTAGCTTCATAATTTACTTAAAAATAAAGATAAAACTAACAAAAAGAGTTGATTTATGTTTACAAATTATATTTTTTCTCAAGTCGCCAAAGTGGCGTTAAAAGTAAATCAATATTGATTAGGAGAAAGAAAATAAAACCCTGTCAACCCAAGTGCGACTTGTGATTGATATATTTCCAAGAACAGAGCCACCTCTGGGCAGTGACTGCACTTGCTACTGCGAAAACTTGGACATTCATTCTCGGAAAGAGACTAAAGTTCTCATTAGTATTTCTGGAAATTAGGGAGAGTGGCAGACAAAACTGTGGCATTATTTGCAACGTGATATGGGGGTGAACAAACGTCTTAGTGTTCGATACCAGAGAACATCGATACCTTATCGGGGGTTTCCAGTTGAATGACGAGCCATAGCGACTCTGGCGCTGAGTTCCCATATTTGTCTTGCGGATAATTCATATTTCTAGCTGGGGGAATGGGGAACGGGTGACGGGTGACGGGGAATATATTTTTCGGGGCTTGGGTTCCGGTAATCGCTGGCCGAGAGAGAACATTTGCTATAAATACCGCCAGACATGCTAGAAAGTATTTAAATTATTTATGTGCTCGATGTGGGTGTAAACACTCAGCTCACCCCCTTTAAATTTATTGCAAATCATTTTCCGTGTCTTCGGGTCCCGCTGCCATGGCAGGCATATTTTCCAGTTGTAAACATTTTTCTCTAATTTGTTGGGGAATCTAATTTATTTGTTTTTGCTTCCAGCATCGCTGGCATAGTTCCCATACTCCCAGTCAGCCAGTCAAATAAAAATACGATTTCACATTCCTGCCGTTCACAGGTGACACAGTTGAAGATCTCCAGCAATCCATTTGCCAAAGGCTTTCGGGATGATGGCACCAATGATGTGTAAGTAACCGCCCAATCAATTATTATTAATAATATATTATATTTGTATTGAATATTGGTACGATCAAAAGCAGTACTTATTTGGGTTTTCAAAACTATTTAGCCAGTTCTTCATATAAAATAACTATAAGCTAAACTATGTACTCCCCACATTTTACTCCAATTTTACATATTAAAATGGATAATAAAATTTACCTTGGTATAAACGTTAACAAAAAGTATGTAAAGTTGTGTATAGTATTTCTAATACTTTCAATTAAGACTATATCCAATTTTAAAAGTTTTAAAGTATAGAAAAATGCACATATTTTCAATCAACTCGTTTTTTGATGAACATTGTATAGGGTCAGCAATTTCAAAAATAAAACATAATTTAGCTTATCAAAAACACCAACTTTTTGAGTTGTAGCATAGCGAAATGCGCTCAGACCGAGCAACATGTTTATAATCTCCCAATTGAACTCAGTGTCTGAATCGACTCGCCCTGTGATGCTGATCAGTATATGTAAGCTTACAGAGGTTAGAAATAACTGGAATACTTTTATAACTTTCAAGTACCAAGTAGAAAAAGCATTCCAAAACGATCTCTTTCGAATAAATGCTTTCGAAAATTTGACCTACATATCAGATGGCAACTTGTCGGTCCCATCTGCCGCCCAAAACTTTCCAGCGATCCCCAAACGCCTCCCAAATGCTTCAAACTCGGGAGAGAGTGCAAGTGGATCTAGACATTCGGTCGACGGACAAAGACTTTCCCGGAATTGCCGACGTGTCGCAAACAGAAATATCGAAAAAAAACAATAAAGAATAACTTCAGAATGTAGAACAGAAGCCCGAATAATGATGATGCTGATGCGAAGGCTGACAGATGCGCCGGCAGCATAAACAATTAATTTCGTTTCATATTTGTCGATTTGGAAGCCCCAGCTTCGTAGCATAGAGTAAACAAATCAGCTCAATTGTTTACGACAGTGCTTAGTGTTGTTTATTACAGAAAAAAATACTTCAATCACTTTCAGTTTTTTATTTAAGACTCTTGGGCTTTAGGGCTGGATTTGTAAACCCTTGCAGGGCATTATAATTGTAATTTAACCAGATGGTCTTGATCAGCAGCAGCGGCAGCAGCCTCGATCTAGCCATGCTTACAGTTGTATTTTTTCAATTCAAAACTATTACCTAATATTGTTACAATTATAATTATTTTTTTTGCTTGATAATGGCAATTACAGAACCGGCAACAGTGGCAGCAGCATGAGCCACGAAAGCCAGGCTCGCATGAAGCAGCAGCAACAGCAGCAGCAACAGCAGCAGCAACAGCAGCTGCAGCATCAGCAACTCAAGGAGCGAACGGCAACCAGCAGCCACTTCAGCTTGGGTTGCACCGACTTGGCTGTGGATCAGCAGCAGGCACAGCTGCAGCAGCAGCTCCCAGCCACACCGTCCAGCAGCTCTGCCTCCGGCAACTCGCCGGATCTCCTTGGCTACCAAATGGAGCAACAGCTCCAACAGCAGCAGCAGCAGCAGCAACTCCAGCAACAGCAGCAGCATCAGCAACATCCATTACAGACGCAGCAGCCTCTCCACCAGCAGCATCAGCAGGTACAGAGCGGGGGCCAATATGGGGGCTATCACCACACGTACCAGCCCCACCATCCCCTAACGCCGCACTCCAACAGCTCCGCATCCCCGCCTGCCACGGCAACAGCAGGAGCGACATCCCTTGCAGCCGTCGCAGCGGCAACGGCAACCTCGCCAGCCGCCGGCACAGGAGCCACCCAGGTGATGGCTGCGGCCAACCTATACTCGAGCATCGGGCAACCGTATGCCCAGGAGCAGAGTAACTTTGGGGCCATTTATCACCACAATGCAACGGCTGCTGCGGCCGCCCACTATCACCATGGCCATGGGCATGGGCATGGGCATGGTCCATATGCTAGCGCCTATGACAAGCTGAAGGTTTCGCGTCATGCGGCTGCCGCCGCCTACGGAATGGGAGCCAGTTACCCCAGCTTCTATGGCTCGGCGGCCCATCACCAGATGATGCGACCCAACAGCTACATAGACCTGGTGCCCCGCTAAAGAATCCCTGCCAAAGTCAAAGATATTTATCCGAATTGGACAGAACTAGCTGTGTATTCGATCTATTGGCCAAGGTGTTGATGTCGCTAGTTTCTGCAAATTAAGAAGGATTCAAAATCGGCCATAAATCAACGAGAAATTAGTTATGGCTAATGTGTAAAAAGGAATTGGTAACAATTAAGTGCTGCACAATTAATTTGCAAATCAAAGAATAAAATATTTGAGAAAATCGATTTGTAAATCGATAAACTTCGATATTTATCCAGGGAAATCGATGTAAATCGATCAACTTCGATATTTATCCAGGGAAATCAGAAATGCAATTTAATTTTTAAAACATTGTTGCAAGTAGGAGTATAATTTCCCGATTTGTAGAGATATCTTTAATGGAGATGAAACAGTGTGTGAGTGCCACGGATTATATTCTTGATTTTAGCAGTGCGGCGGATTTAAGTATTAGCAGCAAAGGAAAAACCAAAAACAAATGCAACAAGTATTACAAGTATTTTACAAATAAAATTACTATTATTATTTTTTTTTTAGTCTAGTTCTTAACTTTATGAATTTGTGTGCCAAACAATGGAAAACCCCAAATGCATATCTTGATGTAAAATGTAGCTGTTAATGTGTAACTATACTATGATTTTTCTTCTTTTTTTTCCTAACATTTTAGTCACTTGTTTTATTCAATGTAAATACAATACATATCTCTTAATATACACATAAAACTGAAACAGTTTCAAATAATAAAAGCAAAAAGAAAAAAATTAAAAGCATCACGAGCATAAATTAACAAAAACTCAATACGTTTTTTTTCTACATTTTGGTTTGTGGATACAAAATGGCCGGAGTCAATGCTGCAATTGGGAAATGGGGAAAATAGCTGGGGAAAAATACGACTTTCCATTAACCATTTTGTTTATGCTACATCACTTTATACCAATCTCACTTCAGCAGTCGTTTCATTTTCTATTTTTTGGGTTCTGCGTCTTTTTCTAAACAGAAAATGCCATCGTTTTAATTGAGATACATTAAGGAAAAGAAAATGGTAAAGAGGAAAAGTGGAAAATGGAAAAATTTAACTAACAAATAGAACAAACGAAGGAGGAGCTTGGAACGAATAGGGGAATGGGAATATAAATTCTACAAGTTGATGTATCCTCAAGATAACGAGCATATTGCAAAGATCCTTGGGATATATAGGTAAGATGTATGGTCTGATTGGAAACTGGATTCTCATTAACGAGCTTTGTCGAGAGTTTAGTTAAAAGTGTCATCATCAATACATATTCAATACATAATAGAAATAGAAGAGGAAAATGAAAGGAAGTATAAGGATGCCTTCCAAAGGGGAGGAAACCACAGGAAAACTCTGAAAAATTCAGTTTTAAAATTGGAACGAATTGGGGGGAAGCCGTTGAGAATAAAGGGTGTTAGAAGATTTGGGTGCAAAGACGGGGACGAAAAATAGAAAAAGGAAGCCATAAAACCGTATCTTCCATTTTCCTCTGCTTTGATTTCCATTTTCTCCCGCCTCTCCCCCCCTTCCTATTGTTATCATTGCGCGTCCATCGACCCTTGAAATGAGTTTTCCATTATGATAACTTTCCGCTGCGAAGATTGACGTGGCGGTGATCTTCGGCCAATGGAAAGTCGATTCCGGGTCTCACCGAATTGCCAGGCAGGCCTGCCTCGATCGATCTATTTAAAATGGATTTATCTGCCAAATGAACGCCATTAATTGGAGGGATTCAGTTAGCTGTCGGCCGTCAGTCAGGTGAATAAACGCCACGAACCGAAAACGATTTTTGGCGTTTTCATTGGTGCCAAAGATATGTTATTTGTACATTTTCTTTAACTAGTAATATTAATCACATTAATTTACTTTTATTTAATACATTTCCACAGTAAGTTCAACCGCGGACTAAAAATATACAGTCACGGACAAAAGTCCAACAATGATCGAATATGGTGTTTTCCTACAAACGATCCATATTACACTCGATAAAGGCCTAAATTCCTATTCCCGAAGCATCATTACTTTTCTTGTCAAATCTATAGGAGTGGCTAAAACCCAAAAAAGGGGTCGTACGAAGACTTTTGTCCGTGACTGTAAATTCTCAAATTTTACAGAATCTAGCAGATTCTTTAACAGATACCGAGAACTCGATTTTGTATTATTTTTATTAAAAACATCACAAAAAAGGGAATGTTTTCTTTTGATATTAACTGGTAAACCAGAGGCATTATACAAGCAAATGTTTAGAATATTGGGGCAAGCCCGTTGCCCACAATATCCTACGCCTGCACAATTTTTGCAGGAGGTTGGCAGCGTGGCACGTGGCGCTCACGGAGTTGTTGGTTCTGAGTGATGCAGAGAGCGGATCGAGACCAGGTGACGATATCGCAACTGATCTTCCTTGCTTGATCGGAATAAGCTGATAGTTGAATCGTAGCTTCGGCTATGATATTCGCAGCCGTTGATAATGACGCAAAGTGCCTTTATGGTTTATCTGCCAGTTCGGAACTAACTTTAACTTTTGCATTTCTCGATAGATACAAGTGTATAAAGGTTATAAGCACCCGAGCCGTCTGACTCAAAAAAGGTAGCAGAGCGTACACAAAACTTTAAACGCGATTTGTGGAAAACTACATTTTTCGAGCTGGCGACCGTCATGTCTCAGTCAATTTTGAACGAATCTTAATGTTTTTTATTTTAAATACGTGTAATGTAGTTGTCCATGGAATAGACTCTAATTACATGGATAGTAGCTTAAATATTGGATTTTTTATCAACAAAAAATGAAGAAAATGTTCAGAAAAATTACACTACATTTTTCAAACGCCGCCATTTTGTTATTTTTTATTTAATTTCGATAAAAGTAGTCTATTCCATAACCACACTCATGCTAAACAAGAACATTTTATTTAAAATTTTTTGTTTCAGAGGATTTTTACGACCTGTAGAAGAGTCGCCAATGGGGTTCCTTTTTCGTGCATTGGCCTACGTCGCCCTGTATCATGCTTCAGGATATGCTTTAAAATTGTATAATTTTTTTCTAAATCATCTTTAAACTATCAAAAATATACTTGAGAAGTTTGAAGTACCTATGTTTTTTTTTTTTGTCAAAAAAAAAAAATTCCTGAAGATTTGACACAACTAACCTGATTGGACCCTTAATCGTAACCCTAGTTCTCACAGGTCACGGCCGCCGACCAGCTTCTATCGAAAGTCTTCGTGTGCCGTCGGACGCTGCTTTTTATACCCTTGCAGGGTATTCTAATTTCAGTCAGAAGTTTGCAACGCAGTGAAGGAGACCTTTCCGACTCTATAAAGTATATATATTCTTGATCAGCATCAAGAGCCAAGCCGATCTAGCCATGTCCGTCTGTCAGTTTTAAAGCTATCTGAATGCATATATGCTATATGTATCAGATCGGACGATCATATAGCTGCCATACAAATGTTCGATACATTTTTAGAAAAAAAAATAATATAACTTGGCTGTTTTTCAACATTTTTACACCATTTTTAAGATATGGCCATCTTAAATTATTTCTGAATTTTGGTAAAAATTTTATGAAAATCGGACGACTTATGATATAGCTGCCATAGAAACGATCGGGAAAGTAATAGGAAACAAATTATAGCTTCGTTGTTTTTCAACATATTCTTATCTACTTTGAGCTTCTTTTATTATTTCAAAGTTTTGGTAAAAATTTTATGAAAATCGGACAACTACATATATCATACAGTTGCCATATAAAAGATCGGTAAATGTAGAGAAAATTTAAAGCTGAGAATGCAGAACTGTCACTGTCAAACTGTAAACATAACAAGTATAGGTAAATGTAATGAAACTCTGTTTTGTGTGTGTTTTAAGCATTTAAATTTATAATATAAATATCAAAAGCAATCTGTAAGGGTATACAAACTTCGGCGTGCCGAAGTTAGCTTCCTTTCTTGTTAAGTTTAAAATTTGTTGCATTAAAATATTGGCGCAGGATCCGCAGCAAATTTTCTGATTGAATTGGTTGATCTGAAAACCACTTCCGTTTTTTGTCCCATGCGGATCACTTGAATTTTCAATAATTTTAAAAATGAAAAACTACCCAAAATCAATCCCAAAAATCAAGGTCTTTCATCAGAAAAGAAAATTTTACAGTTCTTTAATTTAAATGCGTACGAATGTCCCATGTGCGGTTTTGGAAATGCCCATATGCTTAATGAGCATAAGTTTAATGTTGCTTACATTTATTTATTTATTTTATTTTTGAAACTAAAGGTTTCCATTATTGAAAATTGTTTTGTGGGCTATTCGATTACCTTTGTATTTAATTGAAAACGATTTAAAAAAGAAGATTAATTAAAGTAACGGAAATCTAGTATAGCGAACTAAATTATTCAAATAATTTAATACTTAAAATAAGAAAATAGAATTCTTTATAGTTTTATTTGTATGCTCAACAGTATTAATGGATATTTTCTGGATTTAGTGTTCCTTGCATACCCATCACTGCATTTCTTATGCCCTTGCAAAGGGTATTATTATTAGAGTCATATAATTTGTAACGTAGTAAAGGAGATTTAAAAGTCTGAAAACATGTCTTAATTTAATTTATATTGTCATAGTAATATGTAGTAAAAAAGAAAATAGAAAGAGAGATAAGCAAGTCCCTTCTTAGAGACTACTTTTTGTACCGTTCGCGATCTCAAAACTTGTCTTTTTGTCAGTACTTAAAACGCAGTCGGTCTTATAAATAATTCTATTATATTACTTAAATGGTCAAAATTGGCCAGAAAAGTAGTTGAGACCACCGGAATTAAAACTCTGAGAAATGTTGCAGCATCTTAGATCCCAAGATTTTCTTAACTCCACCATTTTCTGCTTCCCCCTGGCTTCGGAATATACAATTGCAAATACATACATATGTACATATGCATACATATGCAAAAACCGAAGCAGCTAAAAACAAAATCGAACGCTTTTGACCAAACCCAAATCGAAAAAAAAAAAATACGATTACCGAAGCAGACCTGACTAATCGGACGGAAATATCGGGAGGGAGGTTGAAGTGCTATCATTAGAAACGTCACTCGCCTGACGTTTAACCTGTACACACAAGTCAAATCTCGATTTCACACGCCCAAAGGAACACAAAGAAGTCAAAAAATGTGACAAGCCATCAAAATGCGACATTCATTAGTCACACGGAAATTGTGACACGACGCATGTTTTAGGGTGAAGCTAGATTGATTATTTGGCATATTGAACTTTGCCCAGGAACTGAAGTATCCTAAAAAAGAGACCATCACAAATGTCTAGGTATAATTATGCTAAGAAAACTACAAATATCCCAAAAGAAATTAAGAATCCCGAAAACCAGAAGCAGGAAGGAGGAAAAATTCCTTTGGGTCCACATCTTCAAAGAGCTACGCGGTGCATACGTATGTACATATGTATGTCTAAAATTGAATAACGCCATATATTCTCCTATGTATGTACATATGTACATATATATCTTGTGGCAAAGCCCCTCAGTTGTTGTCCTCTTATAAATAAGAATAAATTGGCATGCAATTCGCCTTTAAAACGGCGACCAAGTAAAGAACATAAATTTCTCATCACTTGCATAAAATTTTCACAAAAACAACGACCAAGAACAAACAGATGTGTCGCCGACTGATTGAGACGGGGCGGGGCAAAGATATTTTTGGGGGGATGCACTGCGGCTGTGTGGTATATCTTAGAATATTCATATGTACATATA